TCAGCTTCAGAATAACACTTCATCCAAAACCTTCTCGCATCCAAATCAATGCGTAACAAATCTTACTAAAAACCTTCACCTTCAATGACTTCAAAGCCCACAAGAGTGTTTTCTGATGGAAAACATTACAACATGTGTTTGGGAATTACGCAAGCAGCATGGTGTCATGGAACTAGCATATACAAACTAGTTCTCCGGTACATTCTTCAGAATATTCTTAAAAAATATTCTGGCATCCTATGGAAGCTTCTCCAACAAGACTCCCTGAACAGTCTCAATCCTCTCCAAAGCTTCCAAGCGGTCCTCGTACATCTCCAAAAGCTGCACGATACGAGCTTCAACATCTTAAAATGGATTAGTCTGCTGGAAGGTACTCTTTCAAAAAGTTGGCATCTCTAATTCCGGTGGCATGATTGGCTCAACTCCATAAACCAATTGATAAAGAGTGAAACCTTTTGTCAATTTGAATATGTGCGGAATGCAAAAAGAGCTGGGCTAAGCATCCATGTCCAATCACCTTCCCTTGTTGAAGAATTTGATTCTATGTGCTGGCAACTCAAAGCCCATGCCTTTGCATCCCTCCAACGTCCTGGCCAACAATAACCCGTAGTGAGAATTTTCCAAGCTGTGCCTGCTGTTGCAAAGTGTCATCCACAAATGCCATTGTGAAACAACTACAGTAGTCGTGTTCGATCCTCGTCTTCCACTACTCTTTTCAGGACACCATCTTTCCACCGGAAGAACAAGAGTCCATCTAGAAATGTGTAGTTCCTAGCCAACTTTGCTAAATGCTGCTTTAGCTCCACAACAGTTTCCCTTTCTGGAACATCGCTTGTGGTCAGAAATGTCACCACTCCTGCAAGTTCCTCATCCAAACTAATGTGTTCCACCCTACTGAAACCCTCTTCCTTAACCAGCTCCAGTATCACCACCTTTGTTACTTAGTTCCCCTGTTGAAGTCCCTTCTTTGACAAAGTTTTCACTGCCTCCAAATCTCCCCGCTCAACATGCTGGATCTGAAAAAGCTCAAATTTTGCCATTAATTCAAGGACTTTCTCATGTAATCGTACCAGATTCGGTTTAAGAATACGAAACAGACCTCGCACTTGTCATCAGTTAACCGAATCATTCTATGGCATTTTTCTAAAGTCAAAGACAACCACTGTGCCACCTCATGGCCCATCATGTTAATAGCAGTACCACTATCCACTAAACAACCAGTCAGCCAATAACCATGCACTATGACATCTACCACAGGAGCTTGCTCATCTACATCCGATGCCACATCAACTACACTAACCGCTAACTTCCTTGGTGTTAGTCATGTGTTTACCCCTGCCTGAACCTCCACCCGAAGCTTGGGATACATTGCTGACAGTTGTGGAATTGAAATATCTGCTTTGACTTTACGCAGATCCACAACCATGGAATATGGTCCAGCACCTTGACCAATTGCCATATCCTTCAAACTAATCTGCCTCTTAGAAGCTCTTTGTAACTCACTATGCAGAGTGAGGAGTGTGGCCTTTCCTCCACCCGTGGCTCTTCTTCCATTACCAAGGCATGACTTACAAATCTTTCTTTGGAAGACACTAAAAAAGTTAGTCAAACTAGAGCAAATTACCTTCTTGAGTGCGTGACTAGCAATTGGATGAGGCCAAGGCTTGCAGGAGAAAGATTAACTTACCGTCATGGAATAGGGGAGAGAATGATAGAATGAAGCTTCAAGAGTGGTTCAACCATAGCTTCATAGTTTTTATTACTATGCCTTCTTAGAGTTTACTAGATGCTATTTTTTTGCTGAAAGGAATTAGGTACTATTGTATATGTCATACTCATACCTATTCATGACCTTTTGGTCTGAATTTCATTTCTTGATCCATTAATTTATATTGTATTAATAGTGAACAACTTCTTTCAGTGCAAGGGATGGCTACATGTGTAAATATGATGAGCACATAGAAGTTATGTAAAACTTTTGATTACTATTTTTTAGCCATCAGCACAAAATGACTTATGCTCATTAAACTTATCTTTTAGCAATATTCAAAAATTAAGTGCCAAAAAAATCCTACTATGCATTTCTCTTGTGCTTGATTAGTAGAGCTTAGATATCATGCTTAAGCAAGAAATATAAACACTATGGAGCCTTATTAATAGCTACTTTTACAAAATTAATTATGCAAAGGGGTTGATTTCCAAGTAATGCCATGTTCCAACTCCACAGTAACTTTTCATGATAACAATATTTTACATATTTATTGTCAACCAAAAAAAGAGGTTGTTTATTCCCAATCAAGATAGTTTGATCAAGCTATAAATATATTGCAATATTACAGCTTGGCAACTTACATGTTATGGTCATGTTGATGTTGATGAATGGTTCCATAAATCAATTTTCAAAATAAATACAACAATCAACTTAAATGCAAAGAAATAAATTTAATATTATTTAATAAAATTATTAGTGAGTAAGCAGCTTTCTAATGCTCAGTGGAGAAGGATTTGACAAGCAAGAAATACATATTGTTATTTATTGAGTCTTCTAATTCCTTACATATACTCTTGCAAAAAGTGATATTTGGTTTTTTTGTACTTAAAAGTTTACATACAAAAAAGGAATTTGTTATATTTGCAAATATAGTGAATATTCTTAATGCCACCATATTGAAATCCTGGTGCTCCTCGATTGTTCAAAGATCCAAAGGAAATCCAATGTAACGAATTGCTCTAGTGCAAGCAATGGATCCCACAACCTATGGCATAAGCTATTGTGGTCCCAAGCAATGGCAGTTTAATTTAAGTTGACACTAGATTAATGTAGAGGATATTGGGATCTTGAATATTGAAAAGAACGATCAAAACTTTGTAAGTAAAATTTGATAATTTTACACTATTCTATCAGATAGGACACTACTTAAGAACTTCCAAAAGCTTCTCCCAAGGATCTCGTTAAACAAGAGCTCAAAATGGTATAAAATTTCTTTGTATCATCTCAGTCAAACATATGTTGTGTGGCACCACAGGAAATGTCCATGCATGAGCTTTGTTTTTCATTGTCTGAAGTAAGTGGTCTCACTTCCCACAATCACGCGTTTTGGACCCCGAAAAGCATGGAAGTTTCCTTCGCAGCAGCTGCTCAGGATGGCGCTGGGATTTTGCAGCAAGTTTTGGAGCTTGCTCTTGTCAACCGAGAAGACCTTTGGATCGACCTGTAGAATCTCAACTTTCTTGAGCTGCTTGTAGTCGCAGTAATTCACCCGCCACTCTGGGACGAGCTGATTCTCAAGCTGCTTCTGGAGGTTCACCATGCCTGAAAGCTTGGTTACTTGAGGCGAGCATCGTCAAGAAAACGATCAACCAAGAGATGAAATACCTGGTGGAAATGGTGTCAAGTTGACAATGCCCCTTCAAAGTTTTGTGTCGCCCGTGCTCTGGAAGCAGGTGAAGAAGAACAGCGGCAGTGAGCATATGACGAGACAAATGGTGGCGTGGAATCATAAAAAATTGCATGGTGCTGGGGAGGAGCACCAGTACCGGTTCTCACAAGAAAACAGCGTCTTAAGATCATCTCTGGAGAAAAGCGGGAAAGCCTTCATTTCTCGCCGCGGCCAACGAACAATTACATACGTTTTCCCGAGTGAAACTGACGCGGCGGAGTGCAAGAGGAGAGAAGAAGCAAGCAATCCATGTCCATTGGCCTCTGGAGCAACAAAAAGGAGACAGGGATTGTCAGGAAATCTACATGAAAAGAGGCTGTCATAAGTTACACAGTTATACACTGTCAACACGAGTAACTTATGCGAGCGAAAGGGAAATGAAAGAATCACTTGAGCATGGAAGGAAGTGAGGCACGTACTCTTTCTGGAAGTGGAACGTTTTGTTTCGTCGGAGTCCCGATTTCTGGCGCAAGAAAACTGAAAGAATCACAAGCTCAGAACCACGAGAGCAAAGACCAAACAAACCAAGCTTACTCTTGAAAGGGGACGAAGAGGAGAAGAATAACGAAAGGAGCCAAGCTTGGATTCGAGAGAGCTTGTCCGAGTTCTCGAGGTGAGAGCCCTTTGCTCACTCAAAAGTTTGGAGCCTTCCCTCTGGAGTTTGCAATGGAGGTGGTGGTCGCATTTTATATTCTGGGTGGCCGACTAGAGAAAGACAAGACATGGAAGAATAATGGTGTGCTAATTGCCCGCCCATCATCAAAGAGGGGTATAAGGGTGAGACTTTGCTTTGAATCACTGGATATGCAGCTCGGGATATGCTGAGAGAAGTCCCACATACCATGGAGAATGAAAGAAGACAAAAGAAATGCATTTTAGCTTATACTTTTCAGATTATACCTTGCCAGATTCTGCACGATTCTTCGCTAAGAAAGCCAAAACTTCACTCGAGATCCACTCGAGGTATAGAAACTCTGAAAAGGAATTTGTGTGGAGTGATGGAGCTCTTGAATGTTCTCTGCAGATTGCTATGAAGGAGCTGCGTGAACGAAAGATCGGCAATACCGAATATGCTCCAGTATGAACGCTATGGAGAGACAGATCCGCTTAATAAGTCTTTAATAATCCACTCCAAACGGTAGAGTCTCTTGCGACAAGACGAGGGTATGTTTATGGTGGTTGCTGTAGAACAGGGTGACATCAGGATCAAACCAGACCAAACGCGAGAGAAGGTTCTCACTCACCTGATTTGCAAAGCGCGTGTCCCAAGAACGCCAGGTCTCTCATACTTACTTTGTTGGAATTCCCCACAGCCGCCAGCCCCCTCGTTGTTTTCTTGCTCCTTCCTGGAAGAGCAATCCAATGCTGCTTGTAATGGAGCGGAACAATCGTACGCTCATCGTAGCTGCATATACAGACAGCCGCCAGCCTCCTCGTTGTTTTCTTGCTCCTTCCTGGAAGAGCAATCCAATGCTGCTTGTAATGGAGCGGAACAATCGTACGCTCATCGTAGCTGCATATACAGAGACGATGGAAAATCTGGCGACGTAGCCATAAACCCTAGCTACAAAACCTCCTCAAAATCTTGGCCAGCAGTGAATATGCCATGGAAGTTTGAGGTTCGATTTCCATGACGCGCTGCGCCACGCGCGCGCCTCTCTCCATGTCGCAAGCAACCGTACAGCTCCCCAGGAGCGTACGGTACTCGACGATCCCCGGCTCGAATCCCATCCCCTTGTCCACGAATTCCTCTGCCTCCTCGAGCCGCCCGGATCGCCCAAGAACATCCACGATCGAGCAGTGGTGATCGGGCGTGATCTTGACGCCGAATTCGAGCACGATCGATGCGCAACCGTCCCAGATGCCGCATTCTCGATCGCCACCACCGCCGTGACTGCACAGGAAGAGCATGTTGGTGAATGTGACATCGTTGGGTCTCACTCCCTCGAGGATCATGGCGCGGTAGAGCTCGAAGCCGGAGCTCCAATCGCCATGCTTGGCCATGGCGGCGATCATCGCGTTCCAGGAGACGAGATTCCTGGAGCCTCCCAGATCGTTAAACGCGCGCTTGGCATCGATCAAGCTCCCGCATTTGCTGTACATGTCGAGCAGCGCAGTGCCCACCACGACATCGGATTGAAATCCACAGGCTAGAACATCGCAGTGGACGGATCTTCCTCTGGAGAGAAGACCCAATCGAGCAATCGATCCAAGAACGCTGGCGAAAGTCACCTCGTCGGGCTTGGATCCATCCAAGTCCATCCGGCAAAAGTAATCCACGGCCTCCATGCTCGTGTGTTCTTGCTGCGAGAAAGCCGTGATCATCGCTGTCCAGGCCACCACATCTCTTGATCTCATCCCAGAGAAAACTGCCATCGCGTCGCGCACGCAGCCGAATTTGCAGTACATGATCACCAAGCTCGTTGCGAGCTCCATCTCCGTCTCTAGAACGATCCCAGCAGCGATGATCTGCTCGAAAATCCTCCTTCCGTGCAAGATATCCTTGCAAATCGTCACCAAGCTCACGAAAGTGATCTTGTCAGCCTTCAATCCTTCCAAGCTCATCCTGTTGTAGATCCGTAAAACCTCGTCACTGCTACTGCCATCTCGATCTCCTTGACTCGCCCAAGCAGCGATCATCGAATTCCAGGAAGAGACCGTTCGTCTCCCTTCCATGCTCTCGAAGATCGCCATCGCTTCCTCGATGCTCCCACACTTGGCGTACATGAGCAGTAGACCGTTCTCCACTGCCACCTCTCTCTCAAATTCCGAGCTGCGAATCCTCTCGTGGATCCATCTTCCCTGCTCGAGATCGCACAGGGTCGAGCAGGCATCAATCAGCGCGATGAAAGTGATCCTATTCGGCTCCACATCCATTCTCTCCCGGAAGAGCTCCAGCGCCTGCGAGCTCATCCCGGCCAAGATATAAGCCGCGATGATCGAGTTCCAGGAGATCACGTCCCTGTTCTTGGCATCCAATCCATCGAACAAGCGCTTGGCATCACCCACGCAGTAGCACTTGCCATACATCCCGATCAGACTGTTGGCCACCAGGAGGTCCGATTCCAATCCCAGCTCCACGGCTCTGGCATGGATCTCCCGGCCTCGATCGAGATCCCCCAAGCTAGCGCACGCTTTCGCTGCCAGAATGAGCGTGATCTTGTCAGGCACGGGATGCTCGACGTAGAACTCCAGCGCGCTCGCAAAATCTCCACACTGGGAAAATGCTGCAATAATCGCGTTCCAAGACACTGGATTCTTGTTCTTGATCCGGCGAAACACGCATCTAGCCTCATCGATTCGGCCGCATTTGCTGTACATGGTGACGAGATTGTTGGCGACGATCACGTCGGATTCGGCGCCTTGCTCGAGCACGCAGTCGTGGATCGCCTTGCCCGCTTGGAAACACTGCAGCTCCGAGCAAATCCCCGCGATGGATGCGAAGGCGACGCAATCCGGCCTCACTCCCTCGAGAACCATGGCGTGATAGATCTGGATCGCCTGCCTGTGATGCCCACAATCGGCAAACGCCCCGAGCATGATCGTCCAGGAGAAGACGTTCTTGCGATGGATCTGATCGAAGGCCGCTTTGGCATCGGCGATGGAGCCACATTTGCCATACATCCGGACCAGGAGATTTCCCAGGAACGTCTTGCCGCTCTTGCCACTGGCGAGGATGTGAGCGTGGATGTATCGCCCCTGCGAGAGCGATTTGGATCTCTCGCATTCGCGGAGGAGCGTGGCGTAGACATCGTTGTCGAGCTCGAGATCTTTGTGGCCTAGCCTGGCCAAGACGCTCGGATCGATCGATTGCGGGAGCAGCCCACTCCCCGTTTTTGGTAGCGTAGCTCTGGAGATCATGCATTCTTTCACCTTGGGTTTAGGGTTTAGTTGGCCACAAATGGCTGTACACAATCAACAAACATTGCTTTGCACCACCATTGCTTGTGCCATAGGTTGCTGGATCCTTTGCTTGCACTGCTTATATACTGGATTTCCTTGGATCTTTGAACGATCGAGGAGCACTGCAAGGCATGGCCAAGGATTCCCTTGCTCTAAGATTTTACTATGGTAAGTGGTGTAGTGAGTGGTAAGAATTTGCAAATATGGTAAATTCCAGGCAGGATACAATAGAGGTTCCACATGTATTTTTGGCTTCTACATTGAGCATTAGGAAGTTTTTTATTTAGTAAATAATGCTATTAAATAATCTCTCAACTTTCTAATCCATAGAGCCATGAGTTTAACTAGAGTGAATTACCTTTGTGAGTGTGTACTAGCAATTGGAGGAGGGCTTTGTTTGACCACAATTTGATGCTTCTTACTGCTTATGCCTTTTGAGAGTTTATTAGATACTTATTTTTTCGCTGAAAGAAATTGGGGGTGCTATTGTAATATCATACTCCTCACCTTGAGCTTGTTTTGGTATGAATTTCATTTCCTAATCCATTAATGGAGCATTGCCCTCCTTCACCACAAGTAGAAACTTGGAATGTGTAAAATATCATATACTAAGCTGTAGTTTTGATTAACTATTTTTTTAATTATTGCTAAAAAAGAAGTTTAATGAGCATAAGTCATTTGTGCTAATAAATTAATGCAATCCTACCATGAATTTCTCTTGTGCGAGCTCAGATATCATAGTTAAACATAACAATGCATTATATGAAACAATTTGTGCAATTGAATATAAGGAATAATGTAACAATTATTCTATTTTTTATTATAAAGAGTCAATTTTTCTTAGTGATGGTTAGAAGATGGAGCTGGAGCTGGAGCAGAAGCAGGGCATGACTTGCAAACTTTCCATAGGAATAAGCCCTTTCTACAGAAAAACTTGCAAAAGTTATAGATACCAGAACCTTTAACACTTTCCTCCTCCTCACCAGACATTGACCTGCATACATTTGTTATTGCCAAAAGAAAAATAAATAGAAAGAACTATTACCCTATATTATCATCTTCATATATATGATGCTGTGATGCGACTGAAGTCTTATATTCATCTCTGGCAACACCACTTTTGACATAATGCTTAATATCATATTCATCCTCTTTAAAATCTGAATAGAAATAAATTTTGACTAACACTAACAAATTTCTATTAATTTACCTTCTGCCAAAGCTACTAATCCTGCAGACAAGACCACAAGAGAAATGCAGAGCACAGCAAGGCTTGAACTAGCCATGGATTATCAAACACCAATCACTCACACTCTCATTAATCTTCCCTTCTAATATATACAGCCTAAAAATGGAAACGACAATGCAAAGCATAGACGAACACTAAAAACAGACGTGACGATTTGTGCAGAGACAACTCCTCTCCTCGAGCGTAAAGGTTCATGTTTCATGGACAAGTGGATGCTATGCATAAACTCTGCGGTGGTAGAACTAGTACTAAATAAGTCGGAGATGGCGATTCAACGCTGAGCCGGGGATCCACTCGATGAACCTTTCGCTAAGTTACCACACAAACAAGGCAGTCAACCTCGTCGTCACTGGCGCCAATGCTAGGAACGCAGCTCTCTAGATCCGAGAGCCTCCCTGGCGCAACTTTGTGCTCTTTCCTAGCCGTCGCGCTGCAACGATCGCGTTTCGTGACTCCAGATACTCCTGGAACTCCTCACTGTTGTCGGGGAAGAGTTCTACCACCGCAGAGTTTATGCATAGCATCCACTTGTCCATGAAACACGAACCTTTACGCTCGAGGAGGTGTGGTGTGCAGCAGCTTCACTGAAAGAACGATCTTTCGCCCAGTTCATGAGCGAGATTGTAAGCTCACACCCAGCAGCGGCCCCCAGTCCGTGAGAATCCTCTCAATCCCAACGTATATCGCATCTGCCAAGTTTGATGTGTCGATCCCCTGGAAGGTTAATCCATCCTGTGCGAGCTCACTAGCGTCGCAGCAGAGAAGAACTTGAACGTAACTCGCATACCTCGAGCTTGGTGAGCAGGGCTGTCAACGTGGAAGAAGAGGCAGCCGCAGAGGTTCTTCGTAGAGGCTCCATACTTCTCGCCAGATGCAAAGATGTCGTGCATAGACAGCCGTCGAGAGGCTCAGCTGAATCGCTCATGGTCCAGCCGAGCTCGGGATGGAGGAGTTACTTGTTAGCTCGTCGGTGTTCTAGCGTTGCCGCGTAGGAGCATTCCCGAGTGGCGGTAGTCGTTCCAAGAGAGCCTGGAGAAGAACGAGCTTGCGTTCCAACAAGTCGGGACGGCCAACCATCACCCTCCACCTCGTCTCCAGTGCAGTTTCTTTTAGTCCAGGAACTGGAACGACGTCCTCAAGAGCGCCCAGACTTTGTTTCCAAAGCTTGCAACCAGAGAAAGCTTGGAGCGCTTGGGATCATCTGAGCTCTTCTTCGATAGAACCCAGCGTGCCAGATCGTCGATCGCGGCGTTCTGCTGAGACGTGAGGCATGAGGAGTACCAAAGAGCTATCACAGCATCAATAGCGTCCCTTCCGAAGGTCCTGAGCAGCTCGATCATGAGGAAGTTCTTCACTGCGACTTGAGGATTCCAGTCGTTGACGTAGAAAGTTGCCCGGCCACTGAAAGAATCTGGGAGTCGGCACACCGTTTCTATGGCGTTAAGTAGATCTGCTGGTGCTGCAAAACAAAAGCTCCGCTCTTCCGGAGGCTGAAAGCCATCTCTGCTTAGCAGGCCGTGTGCAGGCACATTTCCCCAGGGTGCTTGTCCAAACCTTTGCAAAGAGCCCGTGAACCACGAAGACGGACGTAACCCACGAAGGCACGTACTGCTCAACCATCAGCTCCGACTTACAGGCCTTCTTGGGCTCTGGCCAGTCCTCCTTCTGACATTCCTTGGAGCAATAGCTCACAAGATAGCAACATTTTGTACCAAAGTTGCTACATGAGCCTTGTTTCCAGTTGGAGCAGACAGCTGCTTGCCACCGATCCCAGAGCCAAGCTTCACATCCTTACTGCAACCTGCATCCATAGCTGCAATATGAAAACTCAGCACTGAGAGAACATCCAAACGCTTGATAGTACCTTCGTGGTTTTAGTGGTAGGGAAGTCTTGACTTCTGAATGTTAGAATGCACACGAATCAAATTTAAGGACCGCACGGAGTCAAATTCCAACATCACAAGAAAAGTAAAAGCGACAGTACCGCGACGTGAGACGACTTATACGTGCCTTTGTAAGTACTCTGATGTGACGACCATGCCAATCCGGCGCACACCTTTGACGAGTGCACACATTATAGAAATATTTTACGAAGGAGCATAAAAGACTTACACCAAGACTTTGATGGCTGTTTCGGGAATGCCTTCTGCCAAAGCGCTCGTTGCTGCGAGCGAGCCCGTGCGAGTGATCTTCTCTGCTGGCTCTTACTTGGCTGATGGTATCCTCACTGTCATCACTCTTGTTCAATACTATAAGTTTCCTGATCAGTTGCTGAGGCGGAATTTCTACAACCTGCTCGTCGTTTTGATCGGATCTCAGATAGTCAGTGTCGTGGTTTTCAAGTTGAAAATACCTGTCGAGCAGCAGCCAATCCAATCTGCGCTCTTCTTCCCGCTCATACAGCTATGGAACTTGGCTCGACATCCAAAAGCGTCCATCGACCGGTAAGAGTTCTTTCTTCTTCAATTCAACAATAGATTCATCGAGAAGAAAAAAAATAGAAGATACGTACCTTCACTACCCTGATGAAGATCCTTCCTGGTTGCCAGACGAGAGATGAGCACCAAGAGCACGCTCTTCAGCATCGTTATGCTGACCGTCAAGTCCAGCCAGGCACTCGCGATCGAGTATGATGCCATCTACAAAAAGAGGCTCTCTTCACCCGGTAACTCCTCCATCTCACCTGTTCTCATCCTCGGGATCATAGCCACACTGGTCTCCGGAGCTCTGAATGGAAGCATTGCGGTGGCGTCCAAAACAACCAACGCAAACTCGTGGAAGAAGAAAGCTGGCGTAGCAATCCTCGCAGGTCGAAGAGAGACAAGCTTTTTCTCTCTTTGTTTCAAGCCGGATTCACTGTTTTCTTCCTTGCAGGCCTTCATATTGGATCAGCCATCCTGCTGAATGCCATCTCTTGCTCGGTCTTCGTGATCACGGGAGTCTCATACTTTCCCTTCGTGATCGTCCTTCTCTCCACCAGCGGCATCCTCCAGTGGCTCCTCTTCTGGCTAGTTCTCACACGGGGACCCAAGATAAACCTCAAACAATACACCCGGGCAGTGATCGCGGCCTTCATGAGCTCCTGTGCTTCGCCACTCTACGTCCTGGCCCACGATGCCCACGAACACAAGGAGCTTGGCACTCGACGCTACCGGATCAAGCTCCTGTTCATGGGAATCGTCAAACTGGCACCGGAAGTAGCGTCCTGGATCCTTCTTTTCCAGAGGCCCCGGCCACAGATTGCCAACGCGATGTTCTTCGCTCGCCTGGGATTGGCACAGGCGACGTATTTCGCCTCTGGGATCGCCATTCCCTGGCTGGATCATCGCTGCGGCCCCGTCCCCAGTGGCCATGCAGAGACCGCAGCGATGGAGATCAATGCTGCCGGCGTCGTCCCGGGCGAGCAAGATTTCGACCGTCCTGCGATCGACCTCGTCCCCAGCAAGCAAGATTTCGACCGTCCTGCGATCGACCTCGTCCCCAGCAAGCAAGATTTCGGCGATCCTGGGCAGAATTTCGTCGATCTTGTTGTGGCAGAAGCTCCCAAGCTGGAGAAATGATCCAAAACATCTCCGATTCGAGGAAGCTCGGAGTATATCTGCGGCCTGTGCCTCAATCCCAGCACAAGAATCTCGCTTACTTGCCGCTAGACGAGGCGATCTCTCCAAACTCCCAAGAACCCTAAAATATTTGCTAGGGTTCTAACGTTAGCTTTGAGGCATTTGTTTAGAATTCCTTCCTTCTCCTTTGGCGATCACGAAGATTGCGCTGGAAGCTTGGCGCAGCGACAAGTCAATGGAGCGAGGAAGCTTTCGCGAGCGAGAAGGTCTGGATGGAGCAGCATTGTCAAACGACGCGCATTCTGGCGCTCACGATCGCTCGCGTTCGCGATTAAAAAATTGGCGATCCGGGGGCAAGTCCGTTGGATCGGTGGCCATGGCGGGCGTGCACGCAAAGAAGGCCTCGCGGGAATATCACCTCCACTTTGTGGCGATTTTTCCATTGCTTGGAATCGGCTTGCGCGGCCTGGCACTGGCGTGGATTGATGCACTTCGAGCGAATTCTTTTCCCGGAAGTTGTGAAGAAGAATACTCTTCTTCTTCTTCGTCTTCCACTACTTGTAGCTCTTCTTTCACCAGTTCCATCGCCTGGGAATGGTTTTGGAGTAGCAGAAAGGAACTTAGAGCTCTCTTTGGATGGGGCTACTGTTGCTACTTCTCGTGGCTTTGATCCATGCAAATGCTGGAGTTTGCTCCAAGGTAAGATGAGATGATTCTCCATCGCGGTAAAAGCTTTTTGATGTTCTTCCAGGTAAGAACCTTGGAGGAACCGAGCGGATCTCTCCAGCTGCACTCGTCTAGTAAGCATTGACAGAAGTTTAAGCATCTCAAACGATCTTTGCTAGCAGGAAAATGCACGAGCGATGGAGCTTCATGCGCTCAGGTATAAGATCATACGTTCTTCTTCCAAAGTTATACCACGATTTCTTCATCTTTTCTTCTTTGTCTCGCCAGGTAACCCGAGGTAGAACTTTGGAGGAAGAGAACAGACGTCCGAGCCGAGCGCTCCTCCAGGCAGCAGCATCACCAAGTAAGCATCCATCCACAGAACTTTTCACAAATCTTCGAACTAAGTTCCATTGTTTCCTTTCGAGCAGCCCGGTGTAACAGCGATGGAACCACTTGCCAGTTCCAATGCGGCTCCGGCCGCGCGCTCCCATCCTGCGCTTACGGCTTCGCTGGCGGTCTCACAGGCGGTGCCAATGGAAGATCCTACGTCGTCACCCGGCCCGACGACAATCCCACGGATCCACAAAAGAGAAGCCTGCGCTACGGAGTGAGCTTGAATCCAAAGTCCGGTGGAGTGTGGATAACTTTCTCCAAGACCATGATCATCCAGCTCCGCGAGATGCTGTGGATCCGGAGCGACACCACCATCTCGCGGTTTACGTCCAGTCCCCGGGATCGCAGTTCCAGTACTGTGGAGCCGTCCACAAGGCTTGTCCCTCGGCAGTGGTGACGCAGCACTGAGAGAACATCCAAACGCTTGATAATACCTTCGTGGTTTTGGTGGTAGGGAAGCCGTGACTTCTTCCAATATATCCGAATGTTGGAATGCACAGGAATCAAATTTAAGGACCGCACGGAGTCAAATTCCAACATCACAAGAAGCAATGAAATCAAAGTAAAAGCGACAGTACCGCGATGTGAGACGACTTACACTCTGATGTGACGACCACCATATGATGTCAATCCGGCGCACACCTTTGACGAGTGCACACATTATAGAAGTATACAAGACTTACACCAAGACTTTGATGGCTGTCTCGGGAATGCCTTCTGCCAAAGCGCTCGTTGCTGCGATCGAGCCCGTGCGAGTGATCTTCTCTGCTGGCTCTTACTTGGCTGATGGTATCCTCACTGTCATCACTCTTGTTCAATACTACAAGTTTCCTGATCAGTTGCTGAGGTGGAATTTCTACTTCCTGCTCGTCGCTTCGATCGGATCTCAGATAATCAGTGTCGTGGTTTTCAAGTTGAACATACCTGTCGAGCAGCAGCCAATCCAATCTGCGCTCTTCTTCCCGCTCATACAGCTATGGAACTTGGCTCGACATCCAAAAGCGTCCATCGACCGGTAAGAGTTCTTTCTTCTTCAATTCAACAATAGATTCATCGAGACGAAAAAAATAGAAGATTCGTACCTTCACTACCCTGATGAAGATCCTTCCTGGTTGCCAGGCGAGAGATGAGCACCAAGAGCACGCTCTTCAGCATCGTTATGCTGACCGTCAAGTCCAGCCAGGCACTCGCGATCGAGTATGATGCCATCTACAAAAAGAGGCTCTCTTCACCCGGTAACTCCTCCATCTCACCAGTTCTCATCCTCGGGATCATAGCCACGCTGGTCTCCGGAGCTCTGAATGGAAGCATTGCGGTGACGTCCAAAACAAACAACGCAACCTCGTGGAAGAAGAAAGCTGGCGTAGCAATCCTCGCAGGTCGAAGAGAGACAAGCTTTTTCAAGCCGGATTCACTGTTTTCTTCCTTGCAGGCCTTCATATTGGATCAGCCATCCTGCTGAGTGCCATCTCTTGCTCGGTCTTCACGATCACGGGAGCCTCATACTTTCCCTTCGTGCTCGTCCTTCTCTCCACCATCCTCCAGTGGCTCCTCTTCTGGCTAGTTCTCACACGGGGACCCAAGATAAACCTCAAACAATCCACCCGGGCAGTGATCGCGGCCTTCATGAGCTCCTTTGCTTCGCCACTCTACGTCCTGGCCCACGATGCCCACGAACACAAGGAGCTTGGCACTCGACGCTACCGGATCAAGCTCCTGTTCATGGGAATCATCAGACTGGCGCCGGAAGTAGCGTCCTGGACCCTTCTTTTCCAGCGGCCCGGCCACAGCTTGCCAGCGCGATGTTCTTCGCTCGCCTGGGATTGGCACAGGCGACGTATTTCGCCTCTGGGATCGCCATTCTCTGGCTGGATCATCGCTGCGGCCCCGTCCCCAGTGGCCATGCAGAGACCGCAGCGATGGAGATCAATGCTGCCGCCGTCGTCACGGGCGAGCAAGATTTCGACCGTCCTGCGATCGACCTCGTCCCCAGCAAGCAAGATTTCGACGATCCTGGGCATAATTTCGTCGATCTTGTTGTGGCAGAAGCTCCCAAGCTGGAGAAATGATCCAAAACTTTTCCGATTCGATGAAGCTCGGAGTAAATCTGTGGCCTGTGCCTCGCATTCTACCTAAATCCCAGCACAAGAATCTCGCTTACTTGCCGCTAGACGAGGCGGCCTCCCTCCAAATTGCCAAGAACCCTAAAATATTTGCTAGGGTTCTAACGTTAGCTTTGAGGCATTTGTTTAGAATTCCTTCCTTCTCCTTTGGCGATCACGAAGATTGCGCTGGAAGCTTGGCGCAGCGACAAGTCAATGGAGCGAGGAAGCTTTCGCGAGCGAGAAGGTCTGGATGGAGCAGCATTGTCAAACGACGCACATTCTGGCGCTCACGATCGCTCGCGTTCGCGATTAAACAATTGGCGATCCCGGGGCAAGTCCGTTGGATCGGTGGCCATGGCGGGCGTGCACGCAAAGAAGGCCTCGCGGGAATATCACCTCCACTTTGTGGCGATTTTTCCATTGCTTGGAATCGGCTTGCGCGGCCTGGCACTGGCGTGGATTGATGCACTTCGAGCGAATTCTTTTCCCGGAAGGTGTGAAGAAGAATACTCTTCTTCTTCTTCTTCTTCGTCTTCCACTACTTGTAGCTCTTCTTTCACCAGTTCCATCGCCTGGGAATGGTTTTGGAGTAGCAGAAAGGAACTTAGAGCTCTCTTTGGATGGGGCTACTGTTGCTACTTCTCGTGGCTTTGATCCATGCAAATGCTGGAGTTTGCTCCAAGGTAAGATGAGATGATTCTCCATCGCGGTAAAAGCTTTTTGATGTTCTTCCAGGTAAGAACCTTGGAGGAACCGAGCGGATCTCTCCAGCTGCACTCGTCTAGTAAGCATTGACAGAAGTTTAAGCATCTCAAACGATCTTTGCTAGCAGGAAAATGCACGAGCGATGGAGCTTCATGCGCTCAGGTATAAGATCATACGTTCTTCTTCCACAGTTATACAACGATTTCTTCATCTTTTCTTCTTTGTCTCACCAGGTAACCCGAGGTAGAACTTTGGAGGAAGAGAACAGACGTCCGAGCCGAGCGCTCCTCCAGGCAGCAGCATCACCAAGTAAGCATCCATCCACAGAACTTTTCACAAATCTTCGAACTAAGTTCCATTGTTTCCTTTCGAGCAGCCAGGTGTAACAGCGATGGAACCACTTGCCAGTTCCAATGTGGCTCCGGCCGCGCGCTCCCATCCTGCGCTTACGGCTTCGCTGGCGGTCTCACCGGCGGTGCCAATGGAAGATCCTACGTCGTCACCCGGCCCGACGACAATCCCACGGATCCACAAAAGGGAAGCCTGCGCTACGGAGTGAGCTTGAATCCCAAGTCCGGTGGAGTGTGGATAACTTTCTCCAAGACCATGATCATCCAGCTCCGCGAGATGCTGTGGATCCGGAGCGATACCACCATCGATGGCCGCGGCAGCAACATCACCATCACCGGCCGCTCCATCGTCCTCGCCGGCGTCACCAACGTCATCCTCCACAACTTCCAGATCAACAGCGTTCCAGAGACCGACACCGTGCACGTCTTCGCGGGATCCAAGCGCATCTGGATCGACCACCTTACGAGCTTCTCCGGATCGGAGGGCCTCGTCTCGGTCGTCCAGGGATCCACCGACGTGACCATCTCGAACTGCTACCTCTCCAACCGCGATTTCAACATGCTCCTCGGCGCCTCGGACAGCGATCGCCAGGACAGCGTGATGCGAGTGACCGTCTTTCGCAACTGGTTCCGCGATTCCACGCAGAGGATGCCGCACTGCCGATTCGGCTACTGTCACGTCGTCAACAATCTCTACTCCAACTGGGGATACTACGCGCTGGGAGCTCGAGTGACCGCCACCATCTTGAGCGAGTTCAACGTCTTCGTGGCGGGATCCAAGAAGGAGGTGACGCCCTGGTTCGCTGGAGCGAACTCGGGCAATCTGGACATGACCGCGGTGATCCAGTCGAAGAACGATTCGCTCCGGAACGGGAGTACTTTCCACCAGTTTCTCCAGCGGCAATCCAGAGCAGATGATCCGCCTTACAGGAAGAGCGCATTCTATCCGCCGCGAAGACCGACTAGAGATCTTGCTGGATACGTGCAACGCTGCGCCGGAGCGCTGTTTGGATCCAGGCTTCGCAGATGTATCGCTAAGAGCTAGGAGAACCCAAGGAACACGATGCATGCCAGCCGCCCGATTTCGTGTAAATTCCAAATTCTTTTCTAGAACCCTCTGGAACCGTCCGATTCGAGTTTTGTACTTTCTTTGTCACTAGGGTTTGCGTGTCGCGAGCTCGCGATTCTTCCAGCTCGCAGGGAGGGCGTGGCGCGCGCCTGTGATGAAATTGCGACGGGTATGGTAGCAGGGATTACTGGCGATTTGGCGCGCATTTGAGTCTCTGGCTTGGCACAAGATGTTTGGGGTGGTTTTCCCGAATCGCAGCTTCCCGATGGACGCCGCGAGCTTCCAACAGATCGACATTGCGCACTGGGTGCTCGACATGAGCGTTTTCCTGGGTAAGTCTGAGTTTGCGAAGAAATCCTTTGCTTCGTTGCTTGAAATTGCGAAGAACGAGAGAAGAGAGCTCATTCTTTCTTCTCTCTTCTTCCCGAGAGGCTATCATTTCTTGCTTGGTCTTTAGTTTTTTCGAAGAGAGCTCTCTCTAAAGTTTTTTCCTCTTGGTTACACAGGAGAAGGGTACGAGGAAGTGAAAGAAATGTGTATCTTCCTTCTCAACGAGCTCTCGCTCCCTCCGGAGAAAGCTCTGGCGGTTTACGTCCAGTCCCCGGGATCGCAGTTCCAGTACTGTGGAGCCGTCCACAAGGCTTGTCCCTCGGCAGTGGTGACGCTGCTGTGGCCAAAGCCCGGCGGCCAGATGCAAATCATGGCCTCCGAGACGCAGCCACTCACTGCCAAGATCGGCCTCGCGGTGGAGGACCTCGTCTCGCTCCCGGCTCTCAACGTTGGCAACTACAAGAAGGTGGAGGATCTGGCGCTCAAGGTTGGCGAGAATCTCTTCAACTTCATGCAGTCGTTTTGCAGCCAGGAGAATGGGAGGATGGTTGTCCCGCTCGACATCCTGGAGAAATGGTTCAAGAAGTTTCAAGACAAGGCAAAGAAGGATCCAGAGTACCTCAAGCGATTTACCACCTCGTCGTAGCTCCCGGAAAGTTTTGCTGTAAAGAGATCTCTAGGATGAATACAGTGCATAGCCTCTCTTCTAGCCGGCTCCCTCTCTTCAAACTGTTTTACTCAAAAGCCAACGTACTGCATGTACTCCGAGTACTGCCCGTTTTGCAGGCCGATCGGTGCTCTCAGCACGAAATCGGGCACTCCAAAACCGTCGACCAGTTCCTTGGCAACGCCGCGGACTTCGTAAGATAAATACTCCACCAAACGATGGATAGCCTGCGACAAAGAAAACGTGTTAAGCTTGAATTGTGTCAGAGTTTCTTACTCACCTTGGCTTTGTTTGGTGCAACGTAGTCCTGGTTTCTATACGTTCCAATGTCTTCCCAGATTCGATCCAGAGCATACAAGTCGCACACTAGCTTGAGCAGCGAGCGGACATCTTTGTCCGGGCAACTGCAACACACGAAAACTTTCATACCTGGAGACGAAACGGGAGAACAACTTACCGGTTGACAGCTTCAATGAACTTTGCAAGAATGACGGATTCAATATGTGACTCGGCCAGAGTGAGGAGGTGGTTCAAGCAGCGATTCCATGCACCAAAGCTTCCTAAGCGTTGGGAGTGCTTGCGCAAGCGCAACGCAGCAGTGTGGAGCAGCCTTGCCGTCCGGTACTGCGAAACAAACCGAAATAATATCAGTTGACCAACTGAAACTGACTGAAAGCTGTTGATACCGAACCTGAAAAGCGTCAAGCTGGAAGTTGGGATCTCGGAGATGGCCGTGGCCTTCTCGATGCGTCACGACAGGATTTGTCTGGTTCAAGTAAGTCCCCATTGATTCTCTTAAATAGTTCCATGTCACACTCAAGGCACCTCCTTGGAACTTCTCCTTGTACTGCTTCAAAAGGTCTGCAGCTACCTGAAATGAGAAAGTTTTAAGGAAATGAGCAACCACAGATTCCACAAGCCAAATAGTTGTCAATCTTACCTGCTGTAGCAAAACCGTGTTGTCCCCTTCAAACGTCTGGAAAATGTCATGATCGTTTCGGAGGCTGCCGAATCGATTCACTGCTGCATAACCATGTCCACCACAAGCTTCTCGGCAAGTACTCAATGCCTTCGCCGTGTAGGAAGTAATGTACGCCTTGAGACCCGCAGAGAGAGCGTGAACATCTGCGACCACCTCGTCGTCATGCGTAACTTTCATCTCGGCATATCTGTTCACCAGGTACTGGGTAGCAAAGTGAAAACCATAAGTCGAAGCTAGCAGTGGCATCAATCTTTGCTGGTGAGACTGGTAGTCGAGTATGCTGATCTCTGGCTTGTTTGGAGGGCCGAATTGTTGCCTGAGAAGCGCATACCGGATGGCAATGGTGACGGATGCTTTTAGAACACCGACTGATCCATAGGCTAGCCCAACTCTTCCTCCAACCAATTCCCCAAGTGTAGCTGCAAACCTCTTGTTCACGGTTGGCAGCGAACTGTTATACTCTCCATCCCTTGAAACGTCGCCAAACCGGTTCAAGAGATTGTCTCGGGGAATCCTGACGTTGCTGAATCGTAATGCACCATTGTCGACACCGTTGAGACCAACTTTGTAGCCACAGTCGCGGATTTCCACACCAGGAAGAACGGAGTGATCTTCCATACTTCTGATGGGAACAATGAAGGCGTGCACGCCCATGTCTTTGTCCAGATGCGAGTCCGGCGAAGGAAGCTTGAGCCGAGCAAAAACGGTAGCGAACTTGCCATGGACCGCAGCGTTTCCAATCCACCATTTAGTCGCACCTTCGTCGGGAGTGTTGATCACGAACTCGTCCGTGAGCCTGTCGAAAGTCGCAGTGGTTTGCAATGCTTGAACGTTGGAACCTGGATAAAGAACCAATTTTTCAGCAACGTTGCAGAGAAGAACAAAAGCCAAGATCACATACCATGATGCAACTCCGTCATTGCAAAGCATCCTGGATAATCGAGATTTGATATACCAGCCAAGTATTTGTCACGGTGTTTTTTCGTTCCAAGATTGATGACGCTACCACCCCAGAGACTAAAGTGACACATTGTCAAGATAGAATAGTAAAGAAGAAACCTTTCTTACCTGAATTGCACACCCAGCTTGATCGCAAGCGAGAGATCGATGTGCCCAATCGCCTCAGTGAAAACGAAGTAGCTCGCGGGATCGTTGAGAAGAAGATCCATCGGACGAATCCCAGCCTCACGGACCACCGCAGTGAGCTGCCTCATACACAGCTCCCTGTGCTTGTCCTTGTGAATTTCCACCGGGGTTTGCAAGTGAGGCCGCTCGAGAAAGAATCGATAGACCTTCTCCTGCTCGGATTGATGGCCCTGAGTCAAGAATTCCACCAGCGTCGAGACGTGGACCTGGTGCTTGATCTTCACCTTGGCGCACTCCTGCCGCGCGAGCTGCGCTTCCCTGACCAGCGGCACAGCCGCCATGTGAGACGCTAGCCTCTCCAGCCTGCTTGCGCTGCGCTCCTGATCCTTCTTGGAAATATTTCGCCGGGAATCCGAGAGATTTCGCTGCGATTCCCCCTCCATTGCCATGGATCGATCGACCGATGACTGCCAATGCGCCGCTCCGGCAGCAGCGATGCGGTGATGGCGCTAGGGCTAGCTGATCAAGATTGAAGAACCGACCTGGAGATTTGGGGCTGGATGATCGCGGCCAGCATTCAAAGCGCTCGAATTCCAATGCGATCGATCTTATCCGGGAATTCTTCCTCTCTAGAACAAGAAAACAAACATTGATCGCTTCTCTTTAAACGGCAAAGAGCGCTCCACTCACACGCCACCGCCGTCCCCACTCTTGAGCAAGGACGTGTCCTTGACAAAGTCCCAGTGGAAAAACGAGCTCCTATTCTTAGTAAGCCTGCCAGGTGTAGTCGGTACTAACTGCCACGTTAACCTTTTGGAAGATACAGCCACGTGGCGGCTATCCAATGGAGGAGAGCGTTACATACGGCGTCACGCTCGCTGGATCGAGCTTTGCTAGGGTTTGCGCGACGCCTCGCGCTTGTGCTTGGTCCTCGCGATGGATCTTGGATGCGCCGAGCAGCGCGCCATAGGCGACAGGATCCGGCACGAATGGCATCGCGTGGATCATCTCCTCGGCCAGGCGGAGCTGCCCGATCCGGCCTAGCCCGTCGACGATCAGGGAGAAATGCTCGCGCAGTGGAAGGATTTCGTGGTCTTGAATCATCAGGCGCAGGAGCTGGCGCGCTAGATCGAGCTTCCCGGCGTGGCTGCAAGCGATAAGAATGCTGGTGAAGGAGATCTGGTTAGGCTCGATCCCATCCATCTCCAGGGCTCGAAATAACTGCGCTGCGCGATCGGCCAGGCCAGAGTAGGCGAATGCCGCCACCATTGCCGTCCAGGGGATGAGATCGCGGTAGGGCATTCTCTCGAATAGCGCTGTTGCGGTTCTAAGATCGCTGCTCTGGCACAGGGAGACGATCATTGTGGTGATCGCGACGGCATCGCGAAAGGGCATGGCATCAAACACTCCTTTCGCAGCCTTGTGGTGGCCATTGAGGGCGAATCCGTGGAGAAGCGCGTTCCAGGACACGATGTTGGGCTCTGGCATCTCCTCGAAGATCAATCTCCCTTGGTGGGGCTCTCCATTCAGCATGAAAGCAGTGATCATCGAGTTCCACGACACGGAGCTCAGCGCTGGCATCGAATCAAACAGGCGTCTCGCTTCGTGGGTTTGCCCGATCTGGGCATAGGCAGAGATCATCGTGTTGGTGGAGACTAGATTGGGCTCCGGCATCGAATCGTACAGGAACTTTGCATCCTCCAGTGATCCAGTCTGAGCGTGCGCGGAGATGAGGATGTTCCAGGTGGTGGAATCTCTTCTCGGCATGGAATTGAAAAGGGTCTTGGCTTTGGAGAGGTGACCATTCTGGGCAAATCCCTCGATCATGGCATTGTAGGTGACTATGTTCTTCTCTACCGACTGGTCAAACAGGATCTTGGCCTCCTCAATGCGACCGTGCGACGAAAGCGCTTGGATCATTGCGGTGATCGCAACAACGTTGTGTTGTGGCATTCGATCGAATATAAGTTTTGCTTCGTGCAAATACCCTTCCAGGACGTATGCCGAAACTAAGAGATTCCACGACGCTAGAGTTCTTTCGGGCATCTTTTCAAACATTTTCTTGGCTGAAGCTATGTTTCCAGAGTTTGCAAAGGCCGTGATCATTTCGTTCCAAGTGACAACATTGTGCTCGGGCATTCTCCTTAGTAACACATTGGCTCGTTCTAAATGCCCGAATGCGGCAAATGCGTTTACAATCACATTCCAAGTTACGATGTTTCTCTCGGGGATATCCACAAACAGTTTCTCCACGCGCTCAAGATCTCCAGCATCTGCAAATCCTTTTAGCAATGCAGTCCAGGAGACCACATTACGCTCCGGCATCGAATCAAACAGCAATTCTGCTCTCTCCAAATGCCTAGTCTGGGCATATCCTGTAAGCATTGCATTTGAAGAGGGTATATCAGCAACAGGAACTTCGTCGAACATTTCTTTAGCCAAATCAACATAGCCATCTTTAAAACAAGCGACAATCATAATTGTAAGGACAATCGTACTCCACTCAGGCATTTGATTTAGCAAATATTTTGCGTTATCAAGATGCCCAGCCTGGGCATAAGCAGATACCATCACGGTCCAAGTCACAATGTTCTTCTCAGGCATTCGATTGAAAAGAAGCCTAGCTTTGTGAATCCACCCCTTGAGCGAGTAAGCTTGGAGCATCCTTGTCCAAGTAACAACATCTCTGAATCCTTGATTTGCATTTCTATAGCTTGAAAAGCCTTGGCATCCAATGCATATCATCAAAATCACTCAAAGAAGATATTCTCTTAGCTCCTGGTCTAGTCAAAGTTTAGTCAACGTTTGAGTCCACGGAGAGCAAGAAATCCTCAAATCGCCGTGTCCTTGAGACATCTTTCAAAGCTCCAAAGCTTCTCATTTGAAATAAATAAATTTGCAATAATAACTGGCAATTCCTCCAATAGCAAGTAGCCGTGACTCCTTGGGTAGAATATTTGTAAATACTACTGCAAGATCGATTTGTGAAGTGGTAGATTACTCTGAATGATGCAAAGTTTTGGGCATTTTGAATTTACAATGATTTAGCAAACATTGAACCTAAAATTAAACTTAGGTTTTGGATTTATAATTATATAATAATAGTTTCATAACTATTTGCATATTATAAGATTATTCAATACTATTGAGGTTAGCTGTGATACAACGAATAACAAAATTATTTGTACATTATACAATTCAGCTTCAATAAATTCAACTCAAATACGAACTGCTTTGCTAATTGTTAGTTACTGAATGATAATGAATGTTTAGCAGGTAATTGAAAATAATTAGTAGTAATGTTTGTAATATATGTTTGCAGCATCTGAAAACCCCTTTTTACCAGTGCAGCCCAGGAAACCAAATTTTAGCTCTGGCATCAAATTAAACACCAATTCTGCTCTCCAAATGCCTAGCATATCCTGTAAACACTGTATTTGAAGAGTGTATGTTAGGGACAATCAAACAGTTATTTAGCTAAATCAAGCACAATTGTGCAGCAAAGCTCTTGCCTTGTCAAGATACCCAAGCCAGTAATCCTCATCCAAAGAACAACATCTTTAAGTCCAGCCATCCAACATTTATTTAGAGTAGTCAAATATTAGTCAATGTCCCAGTCCACGGCTAGTCAGCATATCCCCAAGAGCACGAAATCCGCGAATGGCCATGTCCTTGATGTGATGCATCGTGACCTTTCCTCCCACGAGCTTGGCCTGATCGCCAAAATGGGTCTTCCCGGTAATCTCCTTGCAAGCGAACAGTAGCTTCTTGGTGGTCTGGACCGCGTACTCCCAGCAATTCTTCTCGTGCACAGTGTAATCCGGGTCGTGATCCTCAAGAATCCTCATCAATCTCTCGAATCCCATGGGAGTGTCCTCGCAGTCGAAGCTTGAGACCTGCGCGCTGCGGAAATCGTCTAGCCCGGGCAGCAGCTTGATGTTGATACCGCAATCCTCGCCGGCTCCACACTTCTCGGCCAGGAAGAAGCGCTCCTCGCCCCCGATTTTCATCACAATTATCAGGAACTCATGGTTGATGATCGACCTTGGATTGATAAGAGGGCGCGTCATGGCCGTGCGGCTGGATTGGAGCTGGAAATTTGTCGCACCACTGCTGCCACTGCTACCGCCGGCGCCGGCGCCATGGAAGCTCTGGATGAAGCTCCGGGTGAGATCGTTGGAGAGACCGGACTGGCAGTAGATGATCTTGCGGAGGAGCGAACGCGAGCGCTGGCGGTCGAGGGAGAGGAGGTGATTGTAAACTTCGAGATCGGCCTTGGCATGGTTGGAGATCTGGCCTGGGTAGACTGTGTTTGTGGAGAAGAGATCTCCGGAGCTTTGCACTGACCTGGTGCTCGTGTTGTTCGAGGCCTGCGCGCTTTGAGCAGCGGATGTCTTCCAGCCCTCCACATTGTCGCCAATTGATCTAGAGATCCACATACTCCTCTTCCAAGTTTGGAAAAGTTCTTCGCAAGCTAAATTTGTGATATCATCTTTGCTATCTTAAGGCTTCTTTACTTGATTAAAAATAATAATCTATGACAATGAAAGGTCCGTAAAAGCTGTAACATTTCACATGCAAGCTGACTAATCTTTCGGATTATTTCATGATTTAGAGACAATGTTCTCAGTTCTTCCAAGTTCCTGGAATTTGGAAAAACTCTTTCAAAATAAGTTTGTGATATCATCTTTGTTATCGATGCTTCTTTTCTTGATTAAAAAGTATCCATGACAATGAAAGGTCAGTAAAAGCTGTAGCATGTCACGTGCAAGCTGACTATAATCTTTCTATTTCTCGGATTATTTCATGAGAGACTAATGATATCTCTTTCCAATTTTCTTCTTCCAAGTTCCTGGAGTTTGGAAAAGTTCTTGCAAGCAATATCATCTTTAATTATAATCCAGGGTCAGTAGCTGTAACAAGCTGACTAATCTTTTGGATTATTACATGATTCAGACTAATGATATGTATAACTTTTACAAACCTTTCCACCACCTCACTCTATCACATTTTCTTCTTGGATTTTTGCTTCTTTTCGTTCTTTTTTTTGGCTCCGGCACACTCGTCTAGCTCGTCTTCATCATCACAATCTCCATTATCACCATCACCTTTTCTCTTCAAGCTCCCATTCCCCAGAAATGTGTAGATCCTCGGCGGAATCGCTATCTTCACCTCGGGCTGCTCCTCGTCCTCGTCCTCGGGCGACCAGATGAAGATCGACCTTAGAAACCCAACAAGAAACATGATAGAAGAAAAGTTACAAGAAAAAAAACGGATGTTACCGTGAGCTTCCAGAGGCCAGGATATCAAGGCGAGGATGGAGCTTGTTTACGGGACTTATCGTCGTGATGCTCCGATCAATGGCCTTGGCAACTATCTGTCCAGTGCTCACGTCGATGAAATCGATCGGATGCAACGCAACGCCATTGAAGTCGTCGCTGATGTATCGACCGATCACAGCCAGGCATTCCGTGGGATCCTGGATGAAAATCATAAAGCAAGCTCTAGATTTGGAAAAGACGAACGGAAAAAGGAAAAGAGTGCGTACCTTTGGATCCCATTCTGCTCGGAAACAAGTGAGATATCTGTTGAAGTCGTGGCTGTGAACAATCTCCCTGCTTGGAGTTCCCAAGTTGGAGAAAATACAGTCCCAAATGCGAATCCTGTTGTCTTGGCAAGTGGTCATAATCTTGTTTCCTGTTCTAGGCGAGAAGTAGGCGGAGCTCACGACTCTTGGATGAGAGAGCTCCGCGAGATGATTGCGACTGTCAAGCATTCTCAAGTCCCAAATTCGAGCCTAGAAATATATTTTGCTTTGAGTTAGAAAATGGAAAAATGCATGAAAAAAAGCTCGGAAACATACCATGTGATCGTTGCCAGATGTGATAAATATGTCTTGGTCGATTGGATTAGTGTGGAGTCCAACGACTTTTGTGCCTTTCTTATGGATCAACAGAGGCTTGTCATGAGTCTTCTTAGTTCTTAAGTCTAGTCTGGAAAAAAAGAAAGCGTTCGTTCACATTCAAAACCCACATAGACAGTCCTCACCTGTACAAGTATCCAAAATTGTCGGCTGCCAAAGCCAAGTTTCTGGTGAGATTTAAATCCATTCCATAAATCATTTTGAAGGTTGAAGGTCCCTGGAAATAACAGAATCATAAAACTAGTTGTGCGAGAGAAAGACTTACTTGCCATCCCCCCGGATTGAGGTTTATCAAGCTTTGTGTCAAACCGGTTTCCAAGTCTGTGAGGCACAGGTGCCCATCAGAGCCCGAAGAACAGATGGTTTCATCCGAGTTTGGAATAAACCTTGCGAAAAAAGTTTTCTAAAGCGTTAGCAACGCGATCAAGTGTGGACGAGTGCGAGCAAATACTTCATGCTGTTGACAATGCAGCTGTGTACTGTCTCGTAGACCGTTTTGTCGTAGACTTTGAGGTAGTCCCAAATCCCAACTTGGCCTTTCTACAGCACAAAATACAGCAATAAGATGCAAGAAAGGAAGAAAGGAAGGCAAACCTTGTCTCCGGATATGACAAGCTTATCGTTGGTTGGATGAAACTCGAGACAGGTTACTCGACGACTATGTAGCTTGAGGATGCCGCATTCGACTTTATTGGGAATTGGAAGCCTGGGCCTTACCTGAAAAGAAAGTTTTGTATCGTCGAAACAAGGAAAGAAGAAATAAACGTATCAAACAAAACTTACCATGGATCTGTGCCTTCCCAGCTGACGCTCATAGATAAAATCTGCCACTCCTACAGATGTCTTGCGAATTCCGGGGGTGACACCATGCTCACTGGCCAAACGATGGGGACAAGTTGCGGTAGTATGGCCTAAGTGAAAAAAAAAAAAATGTGTTTAAGCTCTCCTAGAAAGAAAGAAAAAAAAAAGAATTGGAACTTACCAGGTCGTTTGCAGAGATAGCACGGCCTGTTTGGACAATCCAAGTAAACTGACCCAACAAAGCCAGCTTGATGATCTTTCCCTTTGCAAACCTGATATAAATAGAAGAGAGAAGAAGAAAATATCAAAGAAAGAGCAACAGAAGCATACCTTGCAAAGCTTTGCTGCTTTCAAACTGATTGTAATCTTCTTTCTACCCTTCTTTCCCTCCACAGCCGAATGCTCCTTGGTTTCCTCCTCCTCCTCTTCCCCAATCTCTTCTTCTTCATCTTTCTCCTCCTCCTCCTCCGCCGCAAGATCGTCTACATCCTCGTCGGAGCTCTCATCGCTGCTGCTACTCTCCCGCTCCACAATCGCTGTTCTCACCTCGCGCCGCGGCCTCCCCATTCTCTCTTTTGCCGCCACAAGTAAGAACCCTAAAAACTTACAAGGGTAAAAAGTGGACCCCAAACCAAATAGGATTATAATGGTCTATCTTTTTTTGTTTTCATAATATTATATTAATCTTAGAAAGTAGTATTTAATGTGATATTTATAAAATGTTTCATTGAGCGAAGTTGAAAATTACATCCAGGTTCCGCAGCCTTGGAGTGAGCTGTGCCTGCAATGGCGACTTTGGCCAAGTCACTGATCCAACACCTTCATCCAAATTGTAGCTTTCTCCAGGAACACGCTCCCAATGAAAACTGTGGAGCAAGTTTGAGAGAACAAGGTGGACAGTCTTGAGGCCAAGTGACATTCCTGGACACATTCTTCTTCCAGCTCCAAAGGGAATCAGCTCAAAGTCCTGCCCTTTAACATCAGCTGTTATCTGCCCAAACCTCTCTGGCCAAAACTTTGTGGGATGTTCCCACACATTTGGGTCCCTGCTAATGGAGTAGAAATTAATAATGGTGGTGGCTCCTTTGGGAACATCAAAACCAGCCAAAACGCATGCTCTGTTTGACATGTGAGGCACTAGAATTGGAACGGGAGGGTGAAGCCTGAGAGTTTCCTTGATCACAGCTTCAAGATATGTCAGCTTTGAGAAATCGGTTTCGGTAGCCATGCGATTTCGACCCACCACTACATCAAGTTCTTCTTGTGCCTTTTTCATTACCTCTGGATTGTTGACAAGTTCCAGTAAGGCCCACTCTACTGTGCAAGCACTTGTGTCCATTCCAGCTATTAGAATTTCCTGCGCAAAAGACTGATCAATGATTTCAAATTTAGAAATATAAGGACTTCGTACCATTAGAGTGCCTTTGACAACCTCCTCGTCTTTGTAATGCTGAAGCAAAATGTCTGTAAAATCAGGTTGTGGACGTGATCCTCCACTTTTCTTGTGCTCGGTAATGACCTTCTCGAAGAACTTGTCTTCCTTGGCAAAGATCCTTTTCACCCGTGGTATGCTCCAGTCGATCCATCGAAGCCAATCCGGAACAAACTGGCCTATATGGAACTGGAGACCAATTTCAGCGACTTCGTGCATCACTTCTTTGAATGTTTTGGCATCTGTTAGATCCTCCCCAACCAAGTTCTCTCCAAAGAATCTCTTACTCATGAGGATTCTGCTCGTGATATTGAATGTAAGCACTGTAAGGTGCTCTCTCATATCAACACCTTTAGGAGCTTTCGCGAGAGATGAGATCAAATAACAAAGCTCCTCAACCCTTACCCATAAGAAGGAGTCTATACGCTTTACAGTGAAAAGCTCTGTAGTGCAGATCTTCCTCACGTTTTTCCAATGATCGCCACTAGCTAATGCCAGCCCCTTGAAGTTATAGCTCACATACTGCCCAACTAATACAAATGGTCTGGAACTAAAGATCAGATCATGAGTCTTGAGTACTTCTTTCGCCATAGCTGGACTGGAAATAATAACGGCTGGAACCATGCCAAGTCTCAAGAACATAACATCCCCAAACTTGTTGGATAACTTCTGAAGAGATTGGTGAATCATTCGATCTAAGAGATGGAGATGACCAATCAATGGCAAACCCCATGGAGATGGCGGCAGCCTCTTGCGTTGCAACATAAGAATTCTAACAAAGAGCAAGAGAGCCAGAAAGTAGAGAAGAAACTCCATTACTCTACCTTGAAGTGGCAATTTGTTAAGTACATATATAGGGACAGATGCCTTCATTTGATCCTCTTTTGGAACAAAACAAGGACTAAAATCACTACTATTTGACGTCAGATTTTTAAGAATTCCATTTTTCTGTAAGTTTGTCAACATCTGTAGGGACACTAATGAGATTCTCCCATTTGATCCTCTAGTGGAACAATTCTCTAATTTGAAGATGTAAGACTTTTTATAAGTTCCACAGTCAGACCATGTGGAGCTCTCTTAGTTCGAGAAATATATCATATTTATTTTGCGTTACTGAGTATTTGTATTTGCTAGCCGTCGAGTTACACGAACTTGCAATGATGACTTTGGCCAGGTTACTGCTCCAAAAGTCTCATCAACACCATAGTTTTTCCCAGGAAGACGATGCCAGTCAAAACCGTGGAGCAAGTTTCCAAGAGTGAGATAAACAGTTTTGAGGCCGAGTGACATGCCTGGGCATATTCTTCTCCCAGCTCCAAATGGAATCAGCTCAAAGTTGTGGCCTTTCACATCAATTGCCAACCCCAGAAATCTTTCGGGCCAAAACTTAGCTGGATTCTCCCAAACCTCTGGATCTCGGCCAATCGAGTAATAGTTGACAATGGTGGTGGCACCTTTAGGAATGTGGAATGATTGACCCAAGGCACAAGCTTGCGTTGACATCCTTGGCACCAGCAATGGCGTTGGAGGGTGAATCCTGAAAGTTTCCTTGATCATGGCCTCAAGATATGTCAGCTTTGGGAAATCAGACTCTAAAACAGTGCGACCTCCGCCCACGACAACATCAAGTTCTTCTTGTGCTTTCTTCATGATCTCTGGATTGTTGAGAAGTTCCAGCAAAGCCCACTCTACTGTGCATGCACTTGTGTCTGTTCCTGCTGCCAAGATTTCCTGTGACAAAGCATTCCAGAGTATGAATTATCATGTTAGAATCATTCTCTCGGCTTACCATCAAGGTGGCTTTGACAACTTCTTGGTCATCTCCTCTGTGCTCAAGCAAAATATCCATGAAATCCTTTGTGGGACTGGATTTTTTGGCTTTGTGTTCGTCCATGATCTTCTGGAGGAATTCGTCCTGCTTGGCAGCAACTCTTTTGGCCTGTGGTATGTTCCAGTCAATCCATTTGAGCCAAGAGGGCACAAACTCACTTATATGGAACTGGAAAGCAAACTGGACTGACTCATCAATCAGTTCCTTGAATACTCTGGCTTCTGCTAGCTCGTCGTCACTCAAGTTCTCACCGAAAAACCTCTTGCTCATGAGGATCCGAGTTTGTACGTTGAATGTGAGGACCGTGAGGTGCTCTCTCACATCTACAATACTTTGGTCATTGCAAGCTTGAGCGAGTGATGATACCAAGTAAGAAAGCTCCTTCATTCTAACCCACAAGAAAGAGTCAATGCGTTTGACTGTGAAGAGCTCGGTGGTGCAGATCTTTCTCATGCTCTTCCAGTGATCACCATTAGCCAAAGCTATTCCCTTGAAATTGTACCCACTGTGCTCTCCAACCAACAAGTATGGCCTGAAACTAAAAGTTGTGTCTCCAGTCTTGAACATTTGTTTTGCTAGATCTGGACTGGAAATCACAATTGCTGGGATCATCCCCAGTTTGAGATACATGATCTCTCCAAACTTCCTGGACAGCTTTTGCAATGAATGGTGAGGCATTCTTCCAATGAGATGGAGGTGACCAATGAGTGGCAAGCCCCATGGAGATGGGGGCAGCCTCTTGCTTGACAGCAACACATTCTTGAAGAGATGGAGCAATAGTAGAAAGCCAAAGAAGAAGAGAAGGAACTCCATCTGGTTTATCTGGAGTCTATGAATCATGGTCTATAAATAATTGTTTCATTGCATGGTTCGTCTAGTGATGCTTTTGAACAAGATGACAAACGAGTATCTGCTGTATTGTTTGAAGGTCAGCCTTGTGAATAAGGTAATATTATAATTTAAGAGCAAATTAAGATGCTTCTAATAAAACAGAATACCAATGGTTACATAGAAGTAACTTTGGCTTGCAATGCTAGCTTTGGCCATATGACAGACATAAAAGCTTCATCCATATTGTAGCTTCCTCCACGGGCGACAGGCTCCCAGTTGAAACCATGAATCAAGTTGGCGAGCGTGAGGTACACACTCTTGAGTCCCAGCAACATCCCTGGACAACTTCTTCTCCCAGATCCGAATGGAATCAGCTCAAAGTCCTGGCCCTTAACATCGATTGTTGATCCTTGAAACCTCTCTGGCCAGAACTTTTCAGGCTTATCCCAAACTCTTGGGTCTCTACCAATGGCATAAAAGTTGATAATGGTGGTGGCACCTTTGGGAATGTCGAAAGACTCGCCCAGAACACAAGCCTGAGTTGACATCCTGGGCAGCAACGGGCCTGGAGGGTGAAACCTGAAAGTTTCCTTGACAATGTCTTCAAGGTATAGAAGCTTGTGGAGATCAGACTCTGTAACCATGCGATCTCGGCCCACAACAGTATCGAGTTCCTCCTGTGCTTTCCTCATTATCTCTGGATTGTTGAGAAGTTCCAGCAGCGCCCACTCTGTCGTACAAGCACTGGTGTCTGTTCCTGCTGCAAGGAGTTCCTGTGAAAATGAGGAAGACAGTCACTGTTACTACAAACTTTGTGAAATCCAGGAGATCATTCACTTACCATAAACGTGGCTTTGGCGGCCTCCTCGTCTTCTTGGTGTTGTAGCAAGATATCCATGAAATCCATCACAGGACGGGATTTCTGGCTAGATTTGTGCTCTTGGATTATTTTTTCGAAGAACTTCTCTTGCTTGGCCACAAGTTTTCTCGCATGTGGGATGTTCCAATCAATCCATCTCAGCCAAGCCGGGACGAACTCACTTATGTGGAACTTCAAAGCGAAGCGCGTCAGCTCCTCCAGGAATTCTCTGAGCTGTCTTACCTCTTCTACTTCCTCCCCGCCCAAGTTCTTGTTCTCAAAGAATCTCTTGCTCATGAGCATCTGGCTCACTATGTTGACATTGAAATCAGTGAGAAGTTCTCTCACATTGACGACGCTCTGGCTCTTGGATGCTTGAGCAAGCCGTGAGACCAAGTGAGAGACCTCAGCAAGCCTCAGCCCTCGGAAGGATTCCAGGCGCTTGACTGAGAAGAGCTCGGTGATACAGATCTTCCTCATGTTCTTCCAGTGATCACCGTTAGACAAACCAATCCCCTTAAAGTTGTAAGTGAGATATTCCCCAACCAACAGGTATGGTCTGAAGCCAAAGCTAGAATCATTGCTTCTCAATGCCTCTTTTGCTAGATCTGGACTGGAAATCACAATGACTGGAGTCATCCCAAGTCTTAGATACATAATCCCTCCAAGCTTTCTAGATAAGTTTTGGAGGGATTGGTGAGGCAGCGCAGACAGATGATGGACGTGACCAATCAAAGGCAGCCCCCATGGAGATGGAGGCAACCTCTTTCTACTCTGCAGCAAAGATCTTCCCAAAAAACACACCACCAAAGCTACAAGAAAGTAGACTGGAAACTCCATGAATCCTTTGTTCTCTCGCTTGAGACCATCACATTGTATACAAGTTATAAAGGACATGAAGCTATAGTTCTTTAAGCTCTCAAGTCAACGATGTAAGATCACTGCCTGACAAAACCACGCGAAGATCACTCGAGGGATCAGAGCTCGACAATCTTTCTTCCAGCTTTGCTTTCTCCTCCCACATCCCTGCTGCCGCATAGACGTTCCCCATCAATCGAAACACCGCGCCATCGCTCCCGCCACCTCTGCTCATCAAGGCCTCGAAAGCCATCTTCGCAACTCTCAAGTTCTTCCACTTCTGGCACGCCCCGAGCACCGTCTTCCACGCCACCGCACTCGCCTCAAACGGCATCGCTTCCAGCAGCTCCACTGCCTCGTCCAGAGCATTCGCTCGCCCCAGCATGTCCACCATGCAGTGGTAGTGCTCCACGCCGGGAGTGACACCATACTTGGAGCTCATCGCCTGGAAGTACCTCCTCCCCTCGTCTACAAGCCCGGCGTGACTACACGCGATGAGAACGCAGATGAAAGTCACCCGGTTTGCTCCAAGCCCCTCGTCTTGCATGCTGTGGAAGAGCCGAAACACGCTGCTCGTGTCACCCAGCCTGCTATATCCTGCTATCAGTGCCGTCCAGGCCACCAGATCGACGCTGCCCAGCGAGTCGAAAGTGGTGTGAGCGTCCACCATGCTGCCGCACTTGCCGTAGACGTCCACAAAGCACGTAGCCAGGAGAGCCTCCGTCTCGTGCCCCCACCGGCAAGCATCGCTGTGGACGGCCTTGCCGAATCGAAAGGCCACCGAGCTTCCACACGCCTTGAGCACGGCGACCAGGTTCTGCGAGCTCAGCGAGAAGCTCTCCTCCTGTCTCATGCTGCCAAACGCCTCCACGGCTTTGGCCTCTTCCCTTGCCTCGATGTACCCCAGGAGCATCGAGTTCCACGACACCATACTGTGGAAAGGCATGGCGTCGAAGACTCGGCGAGCGTCCACCATGCTCCCACATCTCGCGAAAACGTCGACAAAGGTGCTGGCCAAAAACACGTCCGTGTCGCACCCCAACTTCGCTGCCTGTGAGTGAAGAGTCCTGCCTTTGTCCAGAGCGAAAACTTTCACGAGCTTCCCGTCAACCTGTCTTCCTTCTTCCTTGGCAGCCACGCCGATGCAAGCTTTCGCCGCTGCGACAAAAGTTAGTGTGTCCGGCTCGAAGCCTTCGTCCTTCATCGTTGTCAAAAGATCCAAAGCCAGTCCCTCCTCCCCACTCTCTGCGTATCCCATGAGCAAAGCAGTCCATGCCACGACACTCCGAGAAGGCATCCTGTCAAACACGCTGCGGGCGTCCACCAGGCTCCCACAGTTCGCGTACATGTCTATCAGCGTGATTGTCACGAAGCAGTCCGCCGTATGGCCTTTCTCCACAGCTCCAGCATGCAAAGCCATGCCTTTCTCCAAACTTGCCAGCTTCACGGCCCTCCCGTCGATTTTTCTGGCGACTTCTTTTCCTGCGACGCTGGTGCAAGCCTTCAAGGCGGCAACGTACGATCGAGAGGTCGGAGCACAGTCCCTGGAAGTTTTCATGCGGTTGAAAAGCTCCAACACGGTCCCTGCGTCTCCATACTCGCAGTAGCCAAACATGAGAGCGTTCCACGCCACGGCCTTTTGACACTCCATGCTGTCGAAGACTCTTCGAGCATCCGTCATGCTCCCACACTTGGAGTAGAAATCCACCAGCGTGTTGGCGAGCACAGCCTCCGGATCATCGATACTGGATGCTTGAGCGTGTACTCTCGTGCCTCGCTCAAGAGCCACCACCTTGACGAGCCTCCCGTCAACCTGCCTTTGGTCTTCTCTCGCCGCAAGGCCGGAGCAGGCCTTGACCGCAGCAACGAAAGTGAGAGCATTCTTCTCGCAGCTCACACGCTCAAACAGCTCGAGAGCAATCTCCCCCTCTCCATTCTCGGCATATCCCAGCAGCAAAGCATTCCACGACACGACCGTGTGAAACTCCATCCTGTCGAAAGCCCCCCGAGAATCCACCAAGCTTCCACACTTGGCATACATATCCACCAGGGTGTTCTCCACGAACACATCCAGAGAGTCACCCTGGATCCTCGTCGCTCGAGAGTGAACCATCATCCCTTTCTCCAAAGCACCGAGCTTGACTTTTCCACTGCCGATGACAATCGTGCTCTCTTCACAGTCCGCGATGGCAGAGCACGCCTTGATTGCTCCCATGAAAGTCCCCGCATTGGGACGCAAGCCGCGGACTTCCATGCTCTGGAACAAATCCAGCGCCAAATCCCCTCTTCCATTTTCAACGTATCCCAGCAGCAGCGAGTTCCAAGTCACGACGTCATACTGTGGAAATCTTTCGAAGATCTGAGCTGCCTTGACCAATCGCGACCCCAAATCTCTGTCACTGACACTGCCGCTCGAATCAAAATCCTTGCTGCTGCTGGATTCCAGATACCCGGCCATGAGCGCCGTCCAGGCCACCACATTGCGGCAAGGCATGGCGTCAAAGACCCTGTGTGCATCCGCGACGCTGCCGCATCGCGAGTACATGCTGACCAGGCTGCTGGCAACAACGAGATTGGAGCCATAGCCCGCCGCGACGGCATCATTGTGAAGATTCTTGCCGCGATCGAGGTCACTGGAGCTGCGGCAAGAGCGTAATATCGACACGAAGTAGTGGACGCTGATCCTTACCTCAGAATGCAGTGCCCTCGCGCCGATGCCACGCCTCAAACACCGCATGCTCCATCCCGATGGAAGAACCCTAGCAACAGAAAACCTAAAATTCCTCGCGCGCTGAAAGGATTTAAACTTTCTTTACGTGGCTTCATGTCATCTCTCCCCTCTTTGGCCAATTTCTTCGTTCTTGAATAGTTGATCCCAGCCCCTTGAAGTAGTAGCACACATACTGCCTAACCAATATAAATGGCCTGGAACTAAAGAGCAAATCATGAGTCTTGAAGTAGTAGCACGCATACTGCCTAACCAATATAAATGGCCTGGAACTAAAGAGCAAATCATGAGTCTTGAGTACTTCTTTTGCCATGGAACGACTATATGCCAAGGATTGAAATTTCTTTACGTGGCTTCATGCCAATTTCTTCATCTCTCCCCTCTTTGGCCGTTCTCGAATAGCTGATCCCAGCCCCTTGAAGTTGTAGCACGCATACTGCCCAACCAGTATAAATGGCCTGGAACCAAAAACCAGTCGCTGGACTGGTAATAACGGCTGGAACCATGCCAAGTCTCAAGAACATAACATCCCAAACTTGTTGGACAGCTTCTGAAGAGATTGGTAAAGCATTAGATCTAAACCATGGATCTAAACCAATGCAGTAGTGTCTTGCTTTGCAACGTAAGAGTTCTAACAAGGAGCAAAAAGACAGAAACTAGAGAAGGAACTCCATTTTTCAACGGGGATACCAAATGAGATTCTTCCATTTGATCCTCTAGTGGAACAAGACATCAGGATTAAAGTCGTGGAGCAAGTTTCCAAGAGTGAGATAAATAGTTTTGAGGCCGAGTGACATGCCTGGGCATATTCGTCTCCCAGCTCCAAACGGAATCAGCTCAAAGTCCTGGCCTTTCACGTCGATTGCCAACCCCAGAAACCTCTCGGACCAAAACTTTGTCCCAAACTTTGGATCTCTGCCAACGGAGTAAAAGATGACAATGGTGGTGGCACCTTTGATCCTGAAAGTTTCCTTGACGATGGTCTCAAGATATGTCAGCTTTAAAACCATGCCATCTCCGCCTATGACAACATCAAGTTCCTCTTGTCCTTTCCTCATGACATCTGGATTGTTGAGAAGTTCTAGCAAAGCCCACTCCACTCTGCATGTGCTTGTGTCTGTTCCTGCTGCCAGGAGTTCCTATGCCAAAGCATTCCAGAGTATAGATTATCATGTTAGAATCATTCTCCACTTACCGCTAAGGTGGTTTTGACAACTTATCGGTCATCTCGTCTATGCTCAAGCAAAGTATCCATGAAATCCGTTGTCGGGATGGGATTTGTTGGCTTTGTGTTCGTCGGTGATCTTCTGGAGGAATTCGTCCTGCTTGGCAGCAACCCTTTTGGCCTGTGGTATGTTTCCAGTCAATCCATTTGAGCCAAGATGGTACAAACTCACTTATATGGACAAACTCACTTATATGGAACTGGAAAGCAAACTTGACTGACTCATCGATCAGTTCCTTGAATACTCTGGCCTCTGCTAGCTCGTTGTCACTCAAGTTCTCACCAAAAAACCTCTTGCTCGTGAGGATCCGAGTTTGTATGTTGAATGTGAGGATCATGAGGTGTTCTCTCACATCTACAACACATCGGTCTTTGCAAGCTTGGGCGAGTGATGACATCAAGTAAGAAAGCTCCTCCATTCCAACCCACAAGAAAGAGTCTGGATGGCCAGAGACGGTAAACCGAGGCAGTCCTCCCCCTTTGGCGTCGTGCCACTTGCCCCCCGTTGTTATGAACCAGCGCAAAAAGACAAAGATCTAGTTGCCCTAAACTATGCTACACCACCTCTTGAGGTTTTTCACCACCCAACCACCCCCGAGCTACCTCAAAAACTCCACTGTGCCGCCGCTCCACTGTGAGCTTTAGGGTAGGTTAACTCCCTTACCCTAACATGTACCCTTGAGCCTCCCTTTGACTGATGTTGACCATGTAGTCAAAGCTGGCGCCTAACAATTCTTCCCCCCCAACAAAGTCCTTGTCCCAAGGACGAATTGTACTGGTGATCACCCTTTCTAGGGAATCCTACTCAAGCTCCTGGTCCATCAGCTGTATACATCAAGGATGCTTTATTTCGTTAAAGTGGAACTTATTCAGTAAAGTGGGACATTAATTAGCATGTGTCCACATGCCATTTCATAGTACTTAATTAATATTTATTAATATTTCTATCAGTTTTTTAATTTATTTTTTATATTTCACAATATTATAACACAAAATCATATGAAAAGTTTTTAATTTATAAATTATAAAGCTAAAACTTCAATTTTTTATTATTGTTATAAAAATGGCATGTGGCCACACACCATAAGTGGGATAATGAAAAGTTCCACTTTAACGAAATAAAGCATAAGAAGGCATTGGGCCCATCACTCCGAGATAGTACACCTTTCAACTGGTTGACATAAAATACTGGATGAATTTTCACCCTAGCTGGCAGCCGCACCCAATAAGCCGCTTTACCAATGCACTCCAGCACTTCATATAGACCAGCATATCGATGGGAGAGTTTATCACTCTTCCCTGTCCGTAAAGGCACCAAGGTGTTCCGCCGCTCACTTGACAGAAAGATCACTCGCACAAAGACGAGATCACCCACTTTATATTCCCGGAATTGGCGATGCTCATTGGCAAACTTCTCCACTTTATCCTGAGTTGCTTGCAAATTCTGTTTGCACACCACCAGAATCTCATCAAGTTCTGTGGCCAGATCAGTTGCCTCGAAATCAAGCTTATCTCGAACGTCCTTACTCAAATGCAATCCCAACTCCACCGCTGTTCGAGGATGCCTTCCAAACATGGCAAAGTAAGGACTTAGCTTGGTTCCACTGTGTTGGCTATTGTTGTAAGCAAATTGCACCAACGGAAGATATAAATCCCATTGTCTTTGCCTTTGACCAATGCTACAACGTAGCATATCCTCCACCACGTGATTCACACGCTCGGTTTGCCCATCCATCTGAGGATGATCTCCACTTGAGAGTTTCAAAGTCACTTGCATAGCCTTTGCAAAGTTTTTCCAAAATCCACTGGTGAACTTTGAATCTCGATCACTAATGATATCCTCTGGCAAACCAAAATCAGGAAAAACCTTCTCCAAGTAAACCGCAGCCAAGTCTGAGGCAGTGACAGTCTTCCGAAGAGCCAACAACCGCACATACTTCGTCAATTGATCCACTATGACCCATACTTGCTCCTTTTGCCTCTGTGTTCATGGCAAACAAGTGATGAAGTCCATAGAGATACTACACCAACGGCTCTGAGGAATAGGTAAAGGTTGCAAAAGTCCCCCCGGCTTCTCCCGTGGCACCTTAACCCGCTGACAAAGCTCGCATGATTTACAATACTTGAGGATATTAGCCTTCATATTCCTCCAATAAAAGTTGTGCTTAATCAGCTCATATGTCTTCTTCCCCCCAAAATGACCGGCCTCTGGACGATCATGATAGTGGAATAAAACTTGAGTAATTAACGCATCCACCCGTGGCAAATATACACGGCCATTGTAGTAGAGAATCCCATCCACCAATGAGAAAGGGGCTTCCATCTAGGTTCATAAAGAGGCCACCTCAGCATCCTGAGCCTGAGCATGCTCAACCAACTGCCCAAACTCGCTGACCACCTTACTCAAATGATGACAAAATCGTTGTCATAACGTCATCATATGACAAACACAAGATAAAGCATCGGCCACCACATTTGATTTTCCCGGACGATACTCAATAGGAAACTCCCCAAACTCCATGAGTTTGACCATCTAACGAGCTTGCCTAGTGTTCAACTCCTTCTGTGTGAAAAGATACATAAGTGGTTTGTGATCTGTCAACACCACAAACACTGCACCATAAAGATAATGCTGCCACATCCGCAAAGTATGAACAATACAGAGTAACTCTTGCTCATATGTGGAATAGCGTTGCTCCACGGAATTCAAAGTTCGACTCTCATATGCAATAGGCTGTCCCTCTTGCATGAGAACTCCTCCCAGTGCATAACCACTCACATTGCATGTCACCTCATAAGGTTTCAATGGATCAGCAATGTGAAGCACTAGAGCCTCGCTCAACAATCGTTTCAGCGCCACAAAACTCTCCTCTTGTGGCATCTTCCACTCGAATGGCACATTCTTGCTTAACAACCGCGTCAAAGGAATAGCCACCTCTGCAAACTTATGATGGAAACATCGGTAGTAACTAGCCATACCAAGAAAACTGTGCAACTCAGCCACTATAGTCGGTGTAGGCCAGTTTTCCACCACAGCCACCTTCCTTGGATTCGTCTTGACACCCTTAGATGTCACAATATGGCCTAGACATTCCACCTCCGACTTTGCAAATTCACATTTGCTCTTCTTTGCATAAAGTTTGTTGTCTCGAAGTAACAAAAGAACCTTGCGCAAATGCACCCTATGCTCCTCTATATTCTTGCTAAAAACAAGAATATCGTCCAAGAAAATCTCCACAAACTCATGAAGATTACGCCCAAATACCTCCGTCATCAACCGAGTAAATATGGCTAGTGCATTTGTCAAACCAAACGGCATAACTGTAAACTAAAAATGTCCGAAGCTTGTGTTGAATGCCGTCTTGGAGATAGATGCATCATCCTTTGCAATTTGATGATATCCACTCCTCAGATCAATCTTGGTAAACACTTGTGCTTCACCAAGCTTGTCTAGGATATCATCCACACGTGGCATCGGCATCTTATCCTTCACTGTCTTCTTGTTCAAAGCGCGGTAGTCAATACACATTCGCATTGAACCGTCCTTCTTCTTCACAAGCAAGACCGGAGCACCAAACGGAGACTTACTTAGCTGAATAAATCCAAACTCAAGTAACTCCTTGACTTGTCGTTGAACTTCTTGCTCCTCCGCATAACTTAACCGAAACGGACACCGGTAAATTGGCTGCGTCCCCAGCTCCAATGTAATCCCATGCTCCACACCTCCTAATGGAGGTAATCCATGAGGAAGTTTAGATGGAAAAACATCAAAAAACTCGTCAAGTACATCCCATACTGCTACTTCTCCCCCACACGTGCCTTGGTCCCCCAAGTCACGAACAAACAACAAGTAACTCGAAATTTCTTTTCCATTACGACAAGCCCACTTCAAAGATGTATCAGAGAGCATAACAACTGGTGGTTGAACGCCCTCGCCAAACTACACATCTTTAATGCCACCATACTCCAGCAAGATACGCTTAATGCTCCACTTTATCTCTGGATCCACCTTCACCAACCATGGCATCCCAAGAATGAGATCCACACGATGGATATCTGCAAGATAAAAAGTCTCCACAAGTGTGGTTTTGCCAACCAACACTTCTAGCCCCTCGACACAAGCATTGAAATGCTGAGTAGAGGTAGCTGCACCTTCCACTGTGTATGGAAGAACTCCGCATGTGTTCAGGCGATGCTCCGCAACAAACTTTGCCGAAACAAAGTTGTCATTGCTCCCACTATCCAGTAAAATCTGCACTGGATCGCCACGGAATACGCCCTCCAGCATTAAAGCTGATTCACGTGTATCCTCGAGCTCCATCTTGTTCCACACACAGTTGAGTTGATGAACAACGATCAAAAGTCTCTTCCTCCGACCAGAATGGTCGTACTCGTCATCCTCACACTGTAAAGTTTGCAACTTTTTAGTATCTGATTTACCGTGAGAAGAAGATTGGCCATTCTTCTTGTCCTGCCGTTTGTTCTTCAACTGCGGACAATCAGCCTTGTAGTGTCCAAGTTCGCCGCAATGATGACAACCCTGTCTATAATTCTTCACAAAGAACTTCTGCTTTTTGAATCTTTGCATCTGAAGTAGTCACCACCGACTTCAACTTGTGATGTTTGTTCCCATCCTTGTGTCCACGGCGATCATCACGACGATTCTCGACAGAAGGACTCCGCGAATGCTTGTGAGACTTGTGCTTGTCATTGTCAAGTCGACGAGCTGCATCAAAGAGCTCCTCCAAACTCTTTGTAGGCTGAGAATGACGCAAGTGTTGCCGCATGCTCTCACTATGTAAGCCATCAATGAAGTAGGATTTGTTTTGATCTGGATCCTTCGTTGGAACACGACTAATCAAGTGAGTAAGCTTCTCAATATAATCCCCGAGTGTCATTTTCCCTTGCTGGAAATGGTGAAGTTCTGTACGAGCATTCTCCACGTCGTAATGAGGGGCAAAACGTAAATGGAAAGCAGCCTCAAACTCATCCATGGTAGACACTGGTGGTTTCTTATTCGCAACACGGGACTCCTCAAGCCAATTCCACCATTGAAGACCCGCATCACGCAAAATCATCGGAATAGCCACTAAAGCCTCTACATCTGGAGTTCCCCTAGCAGCCAAGAACTTCACATTGGCTAGCCAAGCGAGACACTCGTCCACACCACCATCACCGGAAAAAGTTGGAATCTTGAGTCGATCTACCAAAGAAGGCTTACTTGGAGCACTACCCCATCCAGCCTCGAGTGCCTCAACACGCCCACGCATGGTATCCATCATGCCATGCATCTCGTCTTGCATCTCTTGCTGATTTCGATTAAGGGTTTGCAGCTCATGAACCATATCTTGAATGGTCCAAATCTCCACAACTTCGTCGGCACCATCGTTGGCACCACCATCGACAATAGGATTCCAGCGTTCAGCTTGGTCCGCCATCACAACCAACCTCCCTCTGATACCAATGTTATGAACCAGCGCAAAAAGACAGAGATCTAGTTGCCCTAGACTATGCTATGCCACTTCTTGAGGTTCCTCACCACCCAACCACCCCCGAGCTACCTCAAAAGCTCCACTGCGCCACCACTCCACTGTGAGCCCTAGGGTAGGTTAAGTCCCTTACCCTAACATGCCTTAATATACCCTTGAGCCTCCCTTTGACCGATGTTGACTATGTAGTCAAAGCTGGCACCTAACACCCGTGGGTCAGGCGCTTCCCTGATCCCACCAATTGGAGCATCTTTGCCGGTGGTGCGATCTCCCCGCGAAGGAGCCCGGACAACGGCATGGATGGGCGGCCTAGTATCCTCCCGTCCCGCCCGGGGTGTGTCTTCGTCTGCCCCGCCCCTCCTTCCCCACCGCACACATCACCGGGATTCCGGGGCGGCGCACTCCGCTCCGACCTTTGGGGCTCGGAGCCCTCCTCTCTGAGCCGGCCGGGAGTGGGCCGATCTCCGTCCATGCCCAGTCGCTGGTGCACCCGCCTCGAGTGGAAAAGGAGCGGCGGGGAGAGAGCGGTGGGTCGCCGGTGCCGGAAGGAGCCGCACCCGCGGAGCAGGCAGTCCTCCCCTCCGGATAGGGAGATAGTTGCCGGAAAACGTGTGAAACTTAATAAACGTAACGTTTTAAATGCCAGTCTAAACTCCTAATGCGTTTGCACTATTTGCGAAAAGAGACAAAGGTTTCTTTAGGGTTTCTTTAGGGTTTCTTCAGGGTTCTTGTGGTCATGATAGGAATTGAAGGAGGCCACCCTTTTGGCCTGTGTTATGTGAATGCTGGAGCTGGAAGCATGTGATACACGCAGAGTGGCATTGGACATGTAAGTATTGTCATGAGATTCACACTGGGGGAGTGGACCGAGTGTGAGCACATCTCACTGGAGTTCGGGCAAGAGGTGTGAAAACGTGCAAGGCAATGAGGGAGATCCCTTATGAGGTTCTTAAAAAAGCTCGCAGCTGTTTTTTCGATTTCGAGCTAGCAGACCCAGCAGATGCCGATGATGGGCATCTGCTGCAGCAAGCTGTACAGGGTTCAAGGGGGCCAGCAGAATCTATGGTGGCAAGCACGGAGAACTGGTCCAGTGCTGGGACAAGCAGAGCAGCGAAACACAGATCCTCAAATGGAAATTTGGTGACATTTTTTGATACTGCTTCAGCTAAGGCACTGGATGATGCTGTTGCAGAGTTCTTCTTTGCCGAGAACATCTCCTTGAACACAATCCAAAGAGACAACTTAAAGAAAGTGCTAAAAGTTGCCGCAAAAGTGGGGTGTCCAGCGATTGACAACCTCATGGGATATGAGAAGTTGCGGACAACTGAGCTACAGTGAATCTACAACAACGTTCAGAAGCGGCTTGAAGATGTGCGGCTAAGTTGGAGGACATATGGTTGTACCATTGTCACGGATGGCTGGTCTGATATCAAGAAGCGGTCTCTTATCAACTTCATGGTCAGTTCTGTAAGAGGCTCAATTTTCCTGAAGGCTGTGGACAGCAAGAATGTGAAGAAAACCGGAGCATGGTTGTTTGAGCAGCTGAAACAAGTGATTGCCGAGGTTGGCACGGAAAACGTTGTGCAGGTGGTGACGGACAATGCAAGCAATTGCGTGATCATGGGGGAGCTTTTGCAGCAGGAGTTTCCATAGATTGTACATGTTCGCTGCGTTTGCCACATTATGGACTTGCTGTTCAAAGATATTGGAGCCTTGTCTTGGGTGCAGCCTTTCATCGATGGCTGTGCAAAGACAGTTACCTTCATCACCTCAAAGCCATAGGTTCTAGCTCTTTATAGAACTTTCTGCAAATGGGACCTAATAAAGCCTGTGACCACGAGGTTTGCTTATATTTTTCTTGTGATGTCTCAGCTTCTGGAGACCACGAATCTCTCTGGGCTTTGAAGAATGGTGGTGAGCCAAGAATGGGAGCGACTTGACTAGTCTAAGAAGCCGGAGGGTCTGAAGCTGCAATCTCGTGTTCTCGATGACTCGTTCTGGGAGCGGTGCGAGAATTTATTAATTTTGCTCGGACCTTTACTTCAAGTTCTTCGGCTCACTGATCGGGAGGGGGCAACTTCAGGCCTCATCTTTGAAGCTGTTGATTGGCTGATCGAGAAGATGGATGAGGGAGCTCGAAATGGAATTTATGCACATGAGGAAGTGGGACAAATCAAGGATTTCCTACTTGAATCACACAGTCTGAAGAAGGCAAGGTGGTATCAAATGCACAACATCATTCATGGAGCTGCTTTTGCTCTTCATCCTCTGTTTCTGGGGGATAACCCGAAGAATGACAAGCTAGACAATGAGGCACGCGGGAACTGGCTGGAGTACATGCATGTTTATAGCGGAGGTGATCTGGACTTGCAGCTAAGATTGCAGGCACAGTTTGAGAGGTTTTGGCAATAGCTTGGATGGCAAATGAGGTTACCTGTTGCCAAGGATTGGGAGACCAGAAAGTTTCCAGTAACCTGGTGGAGTTCTTTTGGTTTAGAGATGCCTGATCTACGTCTCATGGCTCTCTGGATTTTAAGCCAGGTTGTTTGCACTTCTCCATGTGAGAGGAATTGGAGCTCATGGAGCTTGATACAAAAAAAGTGCAGGTCCCGCTTGCTTCCCAAAAATGCTGAGAAATACTTTATTTCGTTAAAGTGGAACTTATTCAGTAAAGTGGGACATTAATTAGCATGTGTCCACATGCCATTTCCTAGTACTTAATTAATATTTATTAATATTTCTATCAGTTTTTTAATTTATTTTTTATATTTTACAATATTATAACACAAAATCATATGAAAAGTTTTTAATTTATAAATTATAAAGCTAAAACTTCAATTTTTTATTATTGTTATAAAAATGGCATGTGGCCACACACCATAAGTGGGATAATGAAAAGTTCCACTTTAACAAAATAAAGCATAGAAGCTGGTTTACATTCACACAAACTTGCGGGTTGCTTAGAAGCTGGAGAGTGAAGGTTTGAGGATGCTGGAGATTGATATAGACAAGCTGGAGTTGGAGCCTCATTGGAAGAGGATTTTGGATCTGCAAGAATCTTTTGAGGAACTAAATCAGGCTACTGAAGAGTTTAGCATTGATGAAGGAATGGAAGATGATTCAGAATCGAAAGACGACTAAAATGGCTTATTCTTTCATTTGTTTTAGTATGTCATTCGGTTAGGTTTTATAAACTTAATATCAGATTAAAGTGTCTTTAGTAAATATTAGTGTTTTTTTAATCATTTTAGGCTTTAACATGTAAACATTGGATTGTCCTGAAAAAAACGTTTTAAATGGCGTTTAAATGTCGACATGTTGGAACGTTTGCATGTCTAGCTGCAACTATGAGGGAGGTTGAGACACGGGCGACGGGCATCATGATCGTGTCATGAGCAGGTTCGGGGATCAGATACCGAGGGCGTGGGTGGCCTTGTCAATGCGTTTCACTGTGAAGAGCTCAGTGTTGCAGATCCTTCTCATGTTCTTCCAGTGATCACCACTAGCCAAAGCTATTCCCTTGAAATTGTAGCCACTGTGCTCTCCAACCAGCAAATATGGCCTGAAACTAAAGTTTAGTCTTCAGTCTTGAACATTTGCTTTGCTAGAGCTGGACTGGAAATCACAATTGCAGGGATCATCCCCAATTTGAGATAGATAGTCTCTCCAAACTTCCTGGAGACCTTTTGCACTGAATGGTGAGGCATTCTTCCAATGAGATGGAGGTGACCAATGAGTGGCAAGCCCCATGGAGATGGGGGCAGCCTCTTGCTTGACAGCAACACATTCTTGAAGAGATGAGCAATAGTAGAAAGCCAAAGAAGAAGAGAAGGAACTCCATCGAGTCTATGAATCATGGTCTATAAATAATTGTTTCATTGCAAGGTTCGTCTAGTGATGCTTTTGAACAAGATGACAAACGAGTATCTGCTGTATTGTTTGAAGGTCAACCTCGTGAATAACGTAATATTATAATTTAAGAGCAAATTAAGATGCTTCTAATAAAACAGAATACAATGGTTACAGAGAAGTAACTTTGGCTTGCAATGGTAGCTTTGGCCATATGACAGACATAAAAGCTTCATCCATATTGTAGCTTCCTCCACGAACGACAGGCTCCCAGTTGAAACCATGAATCAAGTTGGCGAGCGTGAGGTACACACTCTTGAGTCCCAGCAACATCCCTGGACAGATTCTTCTCCCGCATCCGAATGGAATCAGCTCAAAGTCCTGGCCCTTAACATCGATTGTTGATCCTTGAAACCTCTCCGGCCAGAACTTTTCAGGCTTATCCCAAACTCTTGGGTCTCTACCAATGGCATAAAAGTTGATAATGGTGGTGGCACCTTTGGGAATGTCGAAAGACTCGCCCAGAACACAAGCCTGAGTTGACATCCTGGGCATCAGCAACGGGGCTGGAGGGTGCAACCTGAAAGTTTCCTTGACAATGTCTTCAAGGTATAGAAGCTTGTGGAGATCAGACTCTGTAACCATGCGATCTCGGCCCACAACAGTATCGAGTTCCTCCTGTGCTTTCCTCATTATCTCTGGATTGTTGAGAAGTTCCAGCAGCGCCCACTCTGTCGTACAAGCACTGGTGTCTGTTCCTGCTGCAAGGAGTTCCTGTGAAAATGAGGAAGACAGTCACTGTTACTACAAACTTTGTGAAATCCAGGAGATCATTCACTTACCATCAAGGTGGCTTTGGCGACCTCCTCGTCTTCTTGGTGTTGTAGCAAGATATCCATAAAATCCATCACAGGGCGGGACTTCTGGCTAGATTTGTGCTCTTGGATTATTTTTTTGAAGAACTTCTCTTGCTTGGCCACAATTTTTCTCGCATGTGGGATGTTCCAATCAATCCATCTCAGCCAAGCCGGGACGAACTCACTTATGTGGAACCTCCAGGACTTCTCTGAGCTGTCTAGCCTCTTCTATTTCCTCCCCGCCCAAGTTCTTGTTCCCAAAGAATCTCTTGCTCATGAGCATCTGGCTCACTATGTTGAAATTGAAATCAGTGACAAGTTCTCTCACATTGACGACGCTCTGGCTCTTGGATGCTTGAGCAAGCCGTGAGACCAAGTGAGAGACCTCCGCAAGCCTCAGCCCTCGGAAGGATTCCAGGCGCTTGACTGAGAAGAGCTCGGTGATACAGATCTTCCTCATGTTCTTCCAGTGATCACCGTTAGACAAACCAATCCCCTTAAAGTTGTAAGTGAGATATTCCCCAACCAACAGGTATGGTCTGAAGCCAAAGCTAGAATCATTGCTTCTCAGTGCCTCTTTCGCTAGATCTGGACTGGAAATCACAATGGCTGGAGTCATCCCAAGTCTTAGATACATAATCCCTCCAAGCTTTCTGGATAAGTTTTGGAAGGATTGGTGAGGCAGCCTAGACAGATGATGGACGTGACCAATCAAAGGCAGTCCCCACGGAGATGGAGGCAACCTCTTTCTACTTTGCAGCAAAGATCTTCCCAAAAAACACACCACCAAAGCTACAAGAAAGTAGACTGGAAACTCCATGAATCCCTTGTTCTCTCGCTTGAGACCATCAAGTTATAAAGCACATGAAGCTATAGTTCTTGAAGCTCTCAAGTCAACGATAGAGTTTTTGTAAGATCACTGCCGGACAAAACCACGCGAAGAGGGATCAGAGCTCGAGAATCTTTCTTCCAGCTTTGCTTTCTCCTCCCACATCCCTGCTGCCGAATCGAACACCGCGCCATCGCTCCCGCCCCATCAATTCTTCCATTTGATCCTCTAGTGGAACAAGACATCAGGATTAAAATCACTAGTTTGAAATAGTTGACTTCCAAGTATTAAATTCAGAGGTCCATGTGGAGCTTCTCTTAGTTCGAGAATTATACAATATTTATTTTGCAATCTTTGCTTGCCTTGGAGTTACACGAACTTGCAATGATAACTTTGGCCAACTTACTGCTCCAAAAGTCTCATCAAAACCATAGCGTTTCCCAGGAAGACGACGCCAGTCATAGCCATGGAGCATGTTTCCAAGAGTGAGATAAACAGTTTTGCCGAGTGACATTCTTCTCCCAGCTCCAAACGGAATCAGCTCAAAGTCGTGGCCTTTCACGTCGATTGCCAACCGGAAACCTCTGGGGCCAAACCTTTGTAGGATTCTCCCAAACTTTTGGATCTCTGCCAATAGAGTAAAAGTTGACAATGGTGGTAACGTCGAACTTCAAATGATTGACCCAAGACACAAGCTTGCATTGACATCCTCGGCACCAGCAATGGCATTGAAGGGTGAATCCTGAAAGTTTCCTTGACGATGGCCTCAAGATATGTCAGCTATGGGAAATCAGACTCCAAAACCATGCCATCTCCGCCTTGATTGATGAGTCAGTCAAGTTTGCTTTCCAGTTCCATATAAGTGAGTTTATACCATCTTGGCTCAACTGGAACATACCACAGGCCAAAAGAGTTGCTGCCAAGCAGGACGAATTCCTCCAGAAGATCATCAACGAACACAAAGCCAACAAATCCCACCCCACAACGGATTTCATGGATACTTTGCTTGAGCACAGACGAGATGACCAAGAGGTTGTCAAAGCCACCCTAGTGGAGCGGAGAATGATTCTAACATGATAATTTATACTCTGGAATGCTTTGTCATAGGAAATTCTGGCAGCAGGAATAGAGACAAGCGCATGCACAGTGGAGTGGGCTTTGCTATAAAAATCCAGATATCATGAGGAAAGCACAAGAGGAACTTGGTGTTGTCATAGTCCTTGAATACTCTGGCCTCTGCTAGCTCGTCGCCACTCAAGTTCTCTCCGGGAAACCTCTTGCTCATGAGGATCCGAGTTTGTACTTTTAATGTGAGGCCCGTGAGGTGCTCTCTCGCATCTACAATACTTTGGTCTTTGCAAGCTTGGGCGAGTGATGATACGAAGTAAGAAAGCTCCTCCATTCTAACCCAAAAGAAAGAGTCGATGCATTTGACTGTGAAGAGCTCGGTGGTGCAGATCCCTCTCATGCTCTTCCAGTGATTACCACTAGCCAAAGCTATTCCCTTGAAATTGTAGCCACTGTGCTCTCCAACCAGCAAATATGGCCTGAAGCTGAAAGTTGAGTCTTCAGCCTTGAACACTTGTTTTGCTAGATCTGGACTAGAAATCACAATTGCTGGGATCATCCAAGCCATCTTTTGGATTTCTATCATCATCAAGACAATTTTATTTTTCCTTTATTCCATCACCACCTCCAGCATCACCAACTACAAATACAATATTTTCTCACAAACCATATTCAAGACCATCTTTAGGATTATATAGTTCTACATCTCCCCCTAAATCCAACTTGTCATTATTTGGCTTGTACATTTTGTATAAGCATTTGCCTATGTCTCTAGAAAGTAGATTTGCTAGAAAAAACAACCTTTTATCCAACACATGACAAGTAAGGATAATTCTTCTCACCTTTCTATTTTGGCTTGGTATTGAGTATTCCTGAGCCATGTTCTGGATCCCAGAACTGTTACATCCAAGTTTACAAGGCAATCAAATTCTGGCAAAACTAAGTTGCTTTGAAAACCATATTGAAAATTATATGGAATTATCATGTGCTTTCATTGTTTAGCATACTATAATCTTAAATTTTGTTGATTGTGAAAACCACGTCTTAGAAAAGACTATGCCATCACTAATAATGAATAGGCATTGTACCCCCCAGGTTGGAGCAACCCCCCCCCCCCCCCCCCCCCCGTTGGCCATCTCCCACATAAGAGCTCTAGCAATTGCACACAGGTATACAAATTTTGATATTGGAGTTTATAGATAGCTTTAGTATATATATTGAAAACAAGTGAGTTCATTCTTGGGAAAGATTGTTTAACAAATAATATAGAGAGCACAAAAGTGAAGAATTCAAATCTTACTAGTAGTTTTGACGATTTCAATTTTCTATGGGCATGGTGGTATGGCTGGACCATTGCCAGAAACATTGAATAAACTATGCGTAGCTTTCACATTATGATAATTTGATATATAGAGCATCAACCACATTAGAGAGGGAACATTGGGATTCACTCTCAAGTCACAACTTCATCTAGTAAGTCCATAAGTAGAACCTCATGCTGTAGTGGGTTCTTGTCGAAGGGGGTTGGTAGAACATCCTCTAGCTCCTTTAGTCTAAAATTACTATAAGCCATATTGCAAAATAAGATATAGTGGTAAGGCATGTTTTGGTGGAAATTGCAGTGGGGATGGAAATTCCAGCAGAGTTATAAAAAGCTACATACTCAGCCTCTACTTCAACATCTTCCTTGTTACTCATCTAATTGTTGTTCAGGAATGAAACTTCCTCCTCTGCTCCAAGGGAAGCTCTTTGCCTAGAAGATCAAAAGGATCGTTATTTAGGTTTTGTGTGCATGGTTCATCTTCTTTACTTTAAAAATGGTCACTACCAGTTGCACTAGTGCTAGATGAAGCTCCTAATAGAAAAACTTGAGAAGAGGATATACAAAGCTTTGAAAACATAAATGTTTATCATTTTGATTAGTTTTCTCCATCCTCACTTGTGCTTGCTTCTGGTAGCTGAAACAATTCATATGAGTCCTCATGTTGAAGAGGAAGATGACTGTAGAAAACAATTACTATTGTTGCAAATGCTTACTTAAATTCTATATATAAGCTAGTAGTACAGTTTACTGCCCACTACCTATCTCCCCACCACCCACTACACCTTCCACCACTGCCTATCACCACACCACCACCACCCAACCAATTGTAATTCTAAATAAAATTATAAATATTCACTAAAAATATATAGTGAATATTTATATGTCCATAAGGGTCCTCCACATCTTCCATCTTGTACACTTCAATCTTCACCAGCTCATTCCTCAAGTGTGAGGCCCCAATCCAGCTCACAGCCCCTAGTGGTGAGGCTCTACACTGACTCGAGACAGGTTGGAGACAGCATAGATTGTCTACACGTGCTCTTGCCGAAGGTTGCATGCGGTGGTATAGTCTTTTGGAACAGTGAGAGGTTCACGGAACAGGTGCATCATGAGTCGACACAGCAAATCCAACAGGAAGTCTTGCCCCATGTGCTTGTGCGGTGATGGCGCAGCTTCGTCTAGCAGCTGGACATGGGTGAGAAGAAGCTGAATTTCATTCTCCACGGTAAGGAGGCCTCGCATTTTCGATTTGGTGATCGAAAAGCTAGAGCAGCTCTTGGAATTCTAACAGAGAACCTCAAGACTCAGAAGGGCTGGGCAGTGGGCTCACTCCCTACTCACAGGAATGCGTCAAGCTCATGCCCAGCTGGTGGGAACCCCTCCCACAACTTTGGCGTGTCAAAAACGCATGCACTCGTGTAGTCTTCGTCTAGCGGCAGTTTTCGTGGTCCAAAATCCATGCTTGTAAGGACCAAAGCCCACACAAGCATGGATTTTGGACCACTGCCCATGTGTTTTTGACACGCCTCTAAATAAAATTATAAATATAATTATTTTCTCAAAAAATGACTTTTCAAAAGTTAAATTTTAACTTATATTTTGTGGTAAAAAAGGCCATGTGAACTTGATCATCTCGGGATGAATGTCTACTTAAATGGACCTTGATTTTGAACAAATGCCCCAATTATTATCATGTTGTCAATAGGAATGCTCAATGGTGCTATTGAATAAATTCTTGGATGGTGTATTATAATGTGTAAGGAGAAAGACTTAAAAGTTGGTCTATAAGGGTTAAAATATAGAGAAAAGAACCTACAAATAAGTGTACCCTTTTTTTCAATTGGTTGGGATATAGAGATTTAAATATCATTTGGTTTAAGTAACATTAAAGATGAGTGACCTAGAAAAGCTGAATTAAAGAGCTCATGTAATGTGCCTGATTGAAAACTGGCAATACTTTAAATTCCACCCTATTATATAAGTTTGATCTTTACCTTATGTAACTCCATCACTTTTATTGCCAGTTCTTGAAACCACCTATAGTAGTGTAAGAGCTATGGTTTTGGAATGGCAAAAAACTTCATTATCATTGTGGTGAGAGGTTGGAGGACAAGAGCATTAAGCCTCTAGTAATTGTAGTTACTAGGGGCAACAACGTTTGTGATCAAAAGAAAAACATGTAAAAACAAAAAGTTAGTGTGGGAGATGGTGCTTGAAACATAAGTAGAATACCTCAAGCCATGGGGAGGTGCAAGCTAGGTTAGGATGATAGAAGGTCTAATAAAGCTATCACTAGTTCTTGCACAGGCATAGTTGGCACTGCCTGCACCTCCAATGGTGAAGGCACTAGCACTCATGCTACCACTAGCAATTGCAGTGGTGTCTGATCCATTGCATTGATCCTATATGTTTTCAAAGATCTAGCCTACATAAACAACGCAAAGATAATAGAGAGAGAAGGACAAAGAAGAGAAAGAGTTCATCATGGATTGATCTGACTCACATATCCTTCAATCTAGAGATCAAGCCTTGATCCAAAGTGCTTGATTTATAAATTTCATGTTGACATAAGCTGGCGAGAAAGAGAGCCTGGAGAGAGAAGACCACACCCCTGTTGCAGAATCGTAGATGTGGCAGCAGTGGCTCGAGGCGTGAGGGGAAGTGAATTGCAGGCCGACTTTGAAGCCATTATTTTTGACATACATTACCGAATCGATCAAGCCCATATCACAGTCTTCTACCTCCCAGTAGAGCAGTGGCATGGTGCGAATGACCGTAATATGATTGCCATTGGTAAAGTAAATCATGCCAAAATTCTGAAGGGAGCAATAAAGGGCAAAACTAACC